GAAGAGCGTCGCACTATTCACTAAGCCCTTGCGTCGAGCAGCGCGCCAGCACTGCGCGGGTGAACTGTCTGACGTCACCTCTGCTCGGTGCCCTCTTGCGTTCGGTCACGCACAGCGATGTATGTATAGATCGGCGCCCCGCGAGCGGGTACTTTGCAACGGTGCGCAGACAGCAAGTTGGCGCGTCGGACGGTGAGCTGCGACTGTGCACTGTCTACGTCGATCGTTTGCTGACGGCCGCAAGTGTTGTGCAGGTAGACCGGGTTCGGCAGGGCGAGGCTCATACAGGGGCTTGTCCAGTGCAACAACATATCGAAGCCTAACAAGCGACATCACCTTGAAGACACGGCACTGTGGCATCGCGGCCAAAGCGCGATGTATGTATGGATCGCCGTCCGGCGAGCGAGGCTCACGGCCATGTGCTGAGGTACGTCGCGAACAGCGGTCGATGCACTCATGTAGTACTAGCTACTGTAGCGTCAGGCCTGTGAAGTCACTACACGGTTCGTTCATCACACTGGCCAGGCCCAGCCCCGTATGATAATGTATATATGGATCGTCTTCCGGCGAGCGGCATGTCGGCTAAGGTACGTAGACGGTGAAATCTGCGTGCGGGACGAGTATTGATGCGTCTGCTAGACTCGCGGCGTGCGTCCGCCGATGCATGCAAGCAGCGCGTCAGCGCTGCTCTCCGACGTCGCCCCGATAACCGTAGCATTGAGGTTCACGGCCACCACCGATGCTAGACGGCCCTAGCCGGCGAGCAGGCCAAAAGCATAGGTAAGTCTTTGTTGTTGTCTTGTGCTGGCTGTGCTGATTGTCTGTTCTTTGCGCAGAACGTCGAACGGCACTAGCGTGCTCGACGTACGCAGACGCAGAAGACACTGCTCGCGCGTGCTGTCGCCGCGACTTTGAACACCAAGTTCCCTCTGCAATAGTTGACAAGTACATCGGCCGAGTAGTACGCGAGATGTTCGGCTATGCGCGCGAGAACGAGCCATGTGTGATCTTCATGGACGAGATCGACGCTATTGGCGGGCGACGGTTCTCGGAGGGTACGAGAGATCCAGCGCACCTTGATGGAGGTGTGCTGCTCACGATGCCCTATCGTCGCCAGCTCCTCAACCAGATGGATGGCTTCGACGCGCTTGAATAGACCAAGCTCATCATGGCGACAATTCGGCCGGATACACTCGACCTCGCACTCCTCCGACCAGGACGGCTAGACGGCAAGGTCGAGATCCCACTGGCCAACGAACAGGCACGGCTAGAAATGGTGAAGATTCATTTCGGGCCTGTGAACAAGGGTGGCGAGATTGACTACGAGGCTATTGTCAAGGTTCGTTCTCTGTCATTCCGTGGCAAGTACGCAGCGTGTCTGACCGCCTCTGCCCTGGTAGCTCGCGAACGGCTTCAACGGCGCGGACCTGCATGTTCGCTACTCGGGATGATCGGTCGGTGCCCATAATCAAGGTGTCATCATCTTGCACAGCTCACATCCGACGGAGGACGCAAGGATAGATCGTCGCCCGGCGAGTGTTCACGGAGTTGTCCCGCGCCGCCGCTGGGCCGACATGCGCGAGGTGTTTCCGAGGTGGGCCATGCGTTCTGCGAGTACGGTGAGTTGCAAGCTTGTACTGTTACTGCACATTCCACTCACGGAATCTGTATAACCGACCTCTCCCGCGCAAGCGCGACAACATATCGACGGCCGGCGGCGTGAAGGTGAGTCATTCTGCGGTGTACATGTTCGCTGACGGTCCACACAATAGGCATTCATTGACTCGGCTATGTACATAGCTGATCGGTGCGTTTGCCGGGGGAAGGTGACCTTTTTTCTTGCCACACACATGTACATACCGAGTCTCGTTTGCGCGACGCACGAAATGCACTGGTACCCGATAATCCGCGAGCTCCCTACGGGGAGGCGAATCTATGGCCGAAAAAAACAAGATTTTTAGCCGGACTTGGGGCGCTTTTCGCGTTTTTTACCTTGCCCCCGCCAATCCCCGCCCGCCGTCGTAAGCACCCGTCATTCTCCTGCGACGATCCCCGCCCCGCCCCCACGCCGCATTCGCACGCCGTGTCCGTCCCATACAATCAACTTCTCCAGCGCGACTCACCAACCTACAGGTACAAAGCAACGCCCATATTCGAGGTCGACGCCACCACGCGGCCGTACTCCCTCTGCTTCGCAGGCAGCCACGCCACGGACCCGCTCACATCCGCGCCGCTGATCCTGTTGATCTGCACCTGGCGTCTGCGCCCGCGGCCGGCGGGGTCCGCCGCGCCGTCGTCGACGCGCACCTGCGGCGAGATCCAGCGCGAGCCGTGCAGCGCGAAGCTGCCTTCGAACGCGGGGTGCAGGACGAGGTCGACCGGCGAGTTGCTCGTCCGCGCGGCGAGCGTGAGGACGTGCTCCGCGGGCGCGTACGGGAGCACGACCCGCACCGGGCTGTTGCTGCTGTGTGTATCGACGTCGAAGAGCCCGCCCGTGCCGGAGGACGTCGTGGAGAACAGGCTCACGTTCGTGTTGATCGGGCTGGGGCGTGTGGTGTCAGTGGGTGTGCGGCAGCGGATACGGCGTGAGAGGCTTACCCGTTGGTGGTCTGCAGCCGCGCCTTGGTCACCTCGCCGGCGTTGTCGTTGAACAGGCCGAGGACGACGCTGATCGGCCCGTTGGAGGTCTGCAGGTCGAGGGTGTGCGAGGTGTTGAAGTGGCCGTCGATGATGCCGTTGGTCGAGCGAACCGAAGCTGCGCCTGCTACGACAGACTGCGGTGCGGTCAGGAATTGGTTCGAGTAAGGCAGACTAAGGACTTACGTGGACATGGACGGGCATGTTCCTCGTCGACAGGGACAGCTCCTTGAAGTAAATCGTGTCCTTGAGGTCCCCGACATGGTGCACGAAGGTCGGCAGCTCAGTGCTCAACTTGTTGACAGTGACCACAGCGCCGTCGGACGAAGGCGGAAGCCGCACGTGGATCCTGAACTGCATCCTGTGGCGGTGGTCATGGCCGTTCCATTGACGAGGAGCCTGTATGATAAGCCGGCTCAGACTACGCCCAAATAAGCTGGGCATCGAGGACTTACGAAGATTCCTACGCCGTCCTTTCCGTCGTCAGCACTCAATTGGCAGACCTTGGTAAGCTCCTCAAAATGATGCTGGCTGTTGAAGTAGCCCAGGATGTCGACCTTCACGACATCCGCGCCAGGCTCGCCGCTGTTCGAGATTTCGATGACGCCGTTTGCCATGTTAGACGAACCATGGGATACGAAAAACAGCTCCTCGGAGTCAAGAGGGAGCTCGAAGGATGTCTCCGCGACGTGCTCGAAGTGGTCCACGGGAAGCACGCCCTCCGGGTCGAACTCCCATTCAGCAGGGATGCAATCTTCAGGGACGTGGGCTGGGCTCTGATGCATGCCGTTGCCGTTGCCGTGCTCTCCTACGAAGCGTGACTGCATGAAGAGGTATGTCAGGGCCCTGATGCAGGTCAGCATGAAATGGTGCTGCTCACCAGACGAGGCGCAACCCGGTGCGCAACGTATATGAAGAGGCATGTGAAGACGAACGCGTGCAAGAACCTCTTCAACGCCCTGAACCTTGCTCGCCGGCGCGCCTGCCTCTCCGGGAGCGCAGATCCCGCGACTGTGTACGTCGCCTGGTAGTCCGGGCACGGCACGAGTGTGGGCACGCTGGGCGCGGTGGACGCCCCCTTCTCGACGTCTGTAGAAGCAGCGTGGGGGTTTTGGTAGGACATTGTGGGCTGGGGATCTGGGTGGGGGCACTGCATATCACACTATATAATCGTGTGGACTCTGGAGCGCCCAGGCGCGTCATTCGTCGACTGCGTACGAGCCCCGAGACTTCATAGACTGCGGCGCTGTTATGCGTAGTAGAAGCCAGAACTGCTCAGTTGCATAAGTACGCTGGACCGCATGAATGACTCGCCTGCGCAGTGCTTGGCACACCTCGGAGAGCCTGCGCTTGACTGCGCGTATCGAAATCGACCTATCGATGCGGGCAACGGTCAACCGCGATCGTTGAGAGGTACATGGCGTGCGCTGTAATGTACCTGGTCCAACGGTGTTCAGTAACCGCATGGGCATGGGAGAGCACCCCAACAATGCCCGCGATTTGCCCGCGATTCAGGTTCAGGCCCGGAGGCCCAAGCTGACGCCAGGATAGCGCGCGACACTACCAGCACAAGACTCGTCAGAGCGGACTTTACAAGAGTACACAATGCTCGTACGTCGGTAATGAAGGAAGTGGTAACTTACAGTGCAGAGTACATATCCCTGAGTGTTTACCTCGATATACGGCGCCCTGTAGGTCGCTTCATGGTCTAGTGCAAGTGACTGTGCAACGGTGACATGCTGTGCTTTCCGCACATGCTCCTCCTTCTGCGTCTGAGATACATACCGGGTCTCCTGCATAAATATGCTCGTTGTTGATTCTCGCAGCTGTCAGCACGACAGCCGTCAAGCCGTTGTGTTACGGTAATAACCTACCTTCACTTCTCCCCTCCTTAAATTGCCGCATGCGCTCTTGATGCAGTCAAGGATTCTGCACAAGACTTCACAATCGCGTTCCTTGTGTATTACGAATCACACCAGTTCCTCTTCAAACTAGCAAATGTTCATGTAAAACTGCACTACGTTGCGTCCCGCGCGGCGCGAGCAAGATCTCATCCACATGCGCTGACCACCGTCGCTGGCGACCTGATGAGTCGCAATCGTGCATCAAACCGTCGTTTTAGCTACGGAGTCGCGAGGATGGTTTATTCAAGCCGTCCAGTCAAGCATCCAGCCATCCGTTTTCTTCAAGCGTGCTCAGTCGTCAGATCCAGAGCACATCAGGGTTTGAAGGGCGTCGACCTCCATGTGCCAATGCCCCGCAACAAACGCGAACACAGCTTCCAAGCACCTAAGTACACGTGCGTGAGGACATGCTTCAGTAGCTTTGAAGGTAAGAGCACGAACACATCAACCGACCCACTTTCACGGCAACTCCTTCCATCGCTCACTACCACGCAGCTTCTTCCCCAACGCCTCCCCATACCACCACTTGAAGATCTCGTCCCGCGCCTGCCCAACCGAAAGCTTTTCTCCGCACACCTTACTGTTGCCGTCCAAACGCACCAAGAACGGGGTCGTGATGCCGTTGACCTTGATTTTGAGCTCGGAGTCGTCCCTGCCCTTCCCGAGGTCGCACTGGTTCATTGGCACCGCGATCCCCTTCCCGGTGAAGTTCATATTGATGAGCGACTGGAGGATGAGCCATCGTTCTTCCGTCTTCTCCGGACTCGCTGCTGCTGGGGGAAGGCGGCTGGGTCTTGGCAGGGCCGCAGCTTTGGGCGCAGGGGGCCAGGTGCGGGGTAGTAGGAACATCCTGCGGACGTCTCGTTGGCGGGTGCCTAGGAGGAGGCCGCCGATGAAGCCACCGAAGCCCATTTGCAGAGCAACGGCGATGCCTCTTTGATACCACGGGCGCAGGACGTATTCCCCCGTTCGTTCACCTGCACTTGCACTCGTAGCACCGGTATCGAGCTCCGCCTCTCGCGGATGCGGCTCCCAGTACGTCCAATGCTTCCATACGAGCTCAATCGACCCAATTCTGCCTGGAACGCGTTAATGTCGTTGAAGAGGAGGATAGGGTTTGAACGCACGTCGCGATTAGATTGACAAGAACGACGAGATATGTCCCCCGCTGCCACCACTGTGGTTTCATTTCATACACCGGTTGGGCTTCTTCCAAAGATTTGAGGAGTTCTCCACGCAGATAACCCAAGTTTCGATGTAGCGGCGGAGCTCGCCATGATTGTCCTCGTCGAAGGGAGCGAACGACGTTTTGTGCGCGGAACATGTTGACCAGCTCGTCACGGTCAACGGTCGCGGTGGCACGCAGGTGGCACGCGCACCTACGCGCACCCGCCGGCGCGCGCCAGGCCCGGGCGCTAAGCGATCTTAAAAAAAGAATCATAATAAGTTACCTTCAAAGACGTACCGACACAATTTATATACACACATTTGGTGGATTCTGAATCTTCTCAGCTCATCAAGTTACTGGTGAATGATCAATAACAGAAAATTGAAGATACTCTAAACATTGATACACAAGTCTAGTATATGGAGGTGTGGTACATTGTGGCCAGCGAGGCTTGATGACGATCTGGGTACTAGTAGGACTATGAGTAGAAGCTCGATTCCAGTACGTGTACTGAAGGATGCCGGGACTCGGAGACGCGCGAGCACAAGGCCTTTCAGTGCCGCTGTAAAACATTCGATGCCACGCTTGCCGTTGACCTAGACAAGGCGAGGCACCGGTAGTTGAAGAGGATTGGAAGTGACTTCTTCAACCTGCTGGTGAGGTGCAGGCTGGTCTCGTCGCCACGATCTGCCTCCGTCTTCAACTCTTCTCGACGAACCTGAGGCTGGTCCATGGCTCCACGAGTGGCTCGGGCGTACAGTGTGCGTTCCCTGCCTCCCATGATGACGGCGTCGCTCTTGCCTGGTTGTGACCCATTGTTTGGGTAATCGTTCGGCCACACGACCGACGGGTGACGAGACAACGGGGCAATAGGGATCGACCGGCGCTGCGGAGTTGCAGTCCGGCGGAGGCACACTGCGTTGCCAACAGTACGTGAGTAAATTGTCATGAAACGATAGGATGTATATCGAAAGAACTCGATACTCACCGATCGACCGACTGTGTTTGTTGTCCGCGGGCGCGTTGGTCGTTCTGGGTGGCATGAATGACCGCTCCAGTCCCCAGTCGTCCAAGGGGAGGCCACACTCCTGGCCCCACTGGCCGACAACGGGGCGCAATGGCGGCGAACTCTCCGGAGGTGAAGAAGCAGATGGTGCATCATTTACAGGCACGGACGTAATCTGCACATTCGACGGTGGTGACGGCTCGAAAGGCTTGAATCCTCAGGAATCCGGCTGCAGGGCCATTGCCATACCTGATGTCAATACTGAGCCTTGCATCGAACTACTCGAGGTATCAGACGGGTGAGTACAACAGTACAAGGCGAACTTACAGAGGAGTTGGATTGAATGTGGGGTCGAATGGGTGTGTTGTCCACTCATCGTCGTTGAATGTGGCGTATGAAGATGCTCTGGTGGCAGATGAGACCGACAAGACGCAGAACTGATACGAACGACCCACTGAACGCCGTCAAAGTAACCATTGTTTGTCGATCCACCGTAACTCTCTGGATGGAGGTAAATCGGCGACCCGCCCTGATGCGGCGGGGCATCGGGGGACCCTACCAGTGTGCGGGGTCCACCGAGAGACGCGTGTGTGGCGTCCGTGTGGGCATGCCGTTCATGTCGACCGACGGATAGGAGTACGCATGGGACGCGAGATATGAGCCCGAAGGGTGCGAGAGCGTCGACGCCAAGGGTGCGGGAGCCGTCGGAATCGTTTATGTAGTCCGAGGCACCCGCCCGTTGATCGCCATACGCATCCGATGCACGCGTATCCTCTATCTCCCTCTTAGACACTGCAGCGCATGCACTAAAACGACGCCGCTCTCCCTCGCGTAAACCAACGTTCCCATTACGCGGGACGCGTTGATTGGGTATCAAGCCCTATGACATCGCCCGTACCACAATGGGACTCGTCCATGAGGTGGAGGCGGTCGCCGCGTTGCCCGTATTGTGGTAATGTGTGGTCGATGACATACACCATCTGGAGGTCAAGAAGAACCAAAATGTGTCCGCCGCCTGCCGACAATAGTCGCTGGATGGTCTGTACACTGCGCAGACCACATATCAGTTAGAGCACGGAACTGCACGACAGTGGAGCGGGGCGTACTAGGTGGGTATATGCGCGGTGCGCATCCTTGACGATTGGATCAGGAAGCCCGAGGCAGTTCAATGGTCGTCGATGGGGATGATACGTGTGCATCTCCGTAGTAGGGGTGGGTTATTGAGGGGATTGCACTGACTACAAGCGCTGTAGAAAGGGCGAGTTGGCGGTCACTGCCGGCATTTCCGCGTCCTTTTATACGAGCACCGAGCGTCGAGGGCCACACCTGACTAATCAAGTCTAGGGTGCCACGCATCGCCGCATTTGGTTGAGTCACACTTATGTATGTGGCTCATCTAAGTACGGTCAAAGCGTCAGGAGACAAGAACAAAGCAGGTCGCTTGCGTGGCCATGGTCTTAGCCGAAGCCCCTGTCACCCAAACCGAGGAGTGCCTGAGTGCCTAGCGTGGCCGACAATGGGTTATGACCATTGTGGCCACGGCGCAAGGGTCTTCAAGTGAATGCCCACTATCATGTCCAACTAACGAGTTGATGAACGCGCTCTGCCAGTGCCCGTAATTTGTGTCGTCGCGAGCACCGAGTTGCCAAGGACCTCGTGTGCAACCCATCCAATAGAGCTCGTTTCGCAGTGTGGGGCAGTGCCAGTCATCCCTGGGCCCTGGGCACCGAGTCTGTTGATCAATGCTCAGTGGAGACCTTGGCGGGGCCGCTCACTGTACAACCACGAGCGCGAGGGCCTCTCATATGCAGGCCACGGCAGCGCTGGTGACCTGACTGGGGAGGAGGTAACTGAGGTCAGCTCGATGAAGTCGACGTCCTGGCGCGCGGATTGACGGACCTCACGAGGACGCGTCACCGCATCTGAGATCAAGATCTGCGCAACGGCGATACTGAGCGCTTATCTCAACCGACAGCCGTCTTGGCAATCCGACTTGGCTCAGTCACTGTACAACACAGCGCAACCAGGGCTACACAATTGTAGAGGAAAGGACCCCAGAATTTGACTGGAACATTGCGTATATATGGAGGTGTGGTACAGTTAAAGCCAGCGCAGTATTACTAGCTCAAGGCTCAGCTCATGCGACAACCTCCCAATTAGCGACCCATGTGCGAACGGTGGTATGTCGGTTTTTGACGGGTTGAAACTTGGTGGCCAACAGCAAGCACAAGATATGCAGGCTGTGCAAGGGCTGTCTCACAAGTTGATCGGACGCCTGTCCGTTGCATTGGCCCATAACGAACTTGAACGGAGCGGACGTCCTGGTGAGTCTGTCCTACAGAAGCCCTGGTGTTGGACTTAATGGCCCGTATCCGGCGCAACAGTCCATCTATGCTGAATCGCTAGTTGGGTGTTTACACGCGAACACCGGTCGCGAAGAATCCAGAGCCGATGTATTCCCCTGGGGTCGGCATGTCATGTCCCGGGCTGGGAGACAGGTATGGATGGCAGACTTTCGACTCCGAGTCGACGCTGGCTGGGTAACGAGTGTCCCGCAGGGGTCCTCAACACACGGCCCGTCTTCGAGCCTGCATTTAGACCTTGCGGCGGCATGGGTGGAGATATGGGTGCGCGGCGTGGAGAGGATCGGCAGCAGTGTCACTGATAGTCTGTCGATGTGTGTCCAATGAAGAGGGAGCCAATGGAGTGAGGTGCCCGGGACTACCAGTAGAACGCGCTGGGTCTTCCTGCGGCCGGAGAGAGCGTGATCAAGACGGCCACAACGAACTGCTACATATAGCACGTACCCGTGAACCTGGGGCTCCGGGGCAGATGGCGGGGAGACAGTCTCGCTCTGCGTCGCGCCCGCAGCCTTCATGTGCGTTTTGCATCACGTTCGCCACGACGGCTCGCCGATCCTCCTCGTACCGGGCCCCACCCGGGATCGAAGACCTGCGGCTCGGCTATCAGGCCACTGTACCTCGGCCATTGACAGGCTCGGTCGAGTCGGCTTGGTGTACTCGCCAGAGCCTACGTAGGTCATGATGTGCCTTCCCGACAGTGGTCAGCGGCTCAGAGCTCGCGCGAGGCCGATTGAGTCTGCTCCCAGTGGACTGGGAATGCTGGATGGCCTGTACACTGCGCAGGTGGCGGGTCAGCGAGGAGAGCGGGCGGTGCGGACAAAGCGAGACGTACTAGGTGGGTATATGCGCTGTGCGCATGCTTGACGATTGGATCAGGAAGCGCGGGGAGTATAGGGCGAGTGCGGCTGGGACGCCATCGCCGTAGAGAAGGGTAGGTGCACATGCTCGTGATTGGTGAGCAGAGGACTCGCGCTGTGGGGAGTGGGAGTTTATGGTCTCTACCTGCGTTTCCGCGCCCCTTTTATACGTGCGAGGGGCGTCAGTGGCCAGTCCTTGGCAACCAGACCGAGGCAACGATACATCGCCGTATTAGGCAGGTCTCTCAGGCTGTGGCCCGGCCGTGGTCAAAGCAATCAGGGGGTGCGCCAGTGGCCTGTGGCGCGTTAGCCGGCGAGCCATTGGTCTCCTGAAACAGGCTCATGGTCGCCATGATTAGCCGCATCTGGGGAGTTACTGCCTATATGAAGGCATCTGTCCGAGTTCATGGCAGAAAGCGGAGCCAGAAGAGTCACTTGCGCCTGAAGCAACTCCAGAGTTCAACGTCAACGCTGAGTTCGGTTCAACTTGGCAAGGCCCTTGGTGGCTGCGCGGGAAACCGCATCGCCACGGCCAGCTGAGCAGGCTCAGCAGGGGACAGGGTTGCGCGCCGTGCGTCGTCTATGTCGCGAACAGCCCAAGTGTCGGAAAAGGGAGTTTGTGATGGATCAACTCGAATTGAAGTAACTCACCAAATATGTTCAGCAGCATCCCGGCCACATCCCAGCTAGAGCATGCCATCCTGCCAATCCCGGAAGCGACGACTACAGATGTCTCGAATCGGGTCGCCGTCGACGTCACAGGTTGTGCCACTCAGGGGGATTCTAATACAGAAAATGTTCCTGTCCAACAGTTCTCGGTGCAGTGCTCATTTGTTTATCGTGCAGTGTGCACACTGTCACATGCGAACGCCGCGCGTGTTGGTACGGAAATGACAGGAAATGACCCGGTGAAGCGAAGACGGTTCAGTGATAGAGTCAATGTTGTATTCACAGACTTTCCAACCAGACGAAGGTGCAGAAAGTCGGGATGGATGGGTGAAGGCGCACTGCGCTGAGCGTAGTGGGCTTGTGGTGGGCGTTGGTGGGCCGGTGGCGGCCAGTGGCGCGCCGAATGGCCGACGTGTAAGATCCAGATCTACCCCAGCGAGCCACTGGCACCCGCTACCACCCGCACCGCGCCAACGCGCCTCTCACCGACTTCCGTGCATGGACTCATCCTCGCCGACCATGGGCCTCTTTTCGCTGTACCCGCATCTCACAGCACTTGTACTTCTTCATGCCACCTATTTTTGACTTAGAAAGTCTCCAATGTGTCTTCTCGAATAAGTATGGGGCCAAATCACCCTTCGACGTGCTCGGTCTTGGCCCATTTTCGAGTTCGCGGCTCAGTGCTCAGTCACAACGTTCACGCGAGCGGCGAGAGGTACTCTTTGACCACCGTTGTATGGCTCGACGCCCACACAATTGACGGTCCCGCATGTGGCGCACGCGTACCCTAACGGATGCCTCCTCGTCGCGCGCGGCCGCGATCCCCTGTACGTCACTAGCTTCCTTCCTGCAAATAAGTCGCCCGCTCAAGCACTTTCATGCAGCCGGTTTCTGGCAGGAAATTTTCTGCCGACACATGTACAGCGACTTGCGTGGCCCGAGCCGTAACATGAGTCGATTCGAATCCGTGGCTCGTCCTGTAGTTATCTCAGGCTCATGCAGCTAGACGGTATCATCAAGTTGCGCACGACCCTCAACTGAATGGTGTACGACTAGTTCCCTCGGTATGCGCACAGGAGAGTGAGTTCAACTTCAACACTTTGCCAATGGCGCGAACGTGCTGTAAGAGCGCAGATACGTCGCGGTCAGCTGACCGCGTCCCGCTGGCATGGGCGTCGACGCGACGCTGCTCAGTGCATTCCACAGTTGTGATATCCGCCAGCAGTTTCAGGCCATCGCAGTTCCCCACATCTTTTCGTGTCCAGAAGTGGTGTGTCTCTTGTCGTGGAGACGTACTATTTGGCTCCTTGCATGCACGGTCCTGTGTGTCAGTGCTCGCTCAGCCTGAGGCTACCAGTCCGGGACGTGTACGTGCGCACATGAAGAGATATTATGCATCAGACTTTCTGCGATCCGAGTATATTTATTCTGCAAAGCTCTAGGGGCTCGTACCAGGCTAAGTATCCACCTCCGCGTTTGTAGGTCTGGCTAACAGCGTCGGTGGACTATGTACATAGGGTGCACCGCTGCCAGCTGCGCATGGTAGCGGACACGCTGTTGAACGTGCTTTCGCTCATATTTACCGACGCTTGCAGAGAATACCAGCAAGGCTCGCCCTGTACGTGTGCACATCTATTTACGCGTCTACCAATTACTGACTCCTTTCTTCTTCTTCGTGAACCCTGTCTCGTACCCCACGTGAACTGCAATGTTGCGGCTCACATCGCCAGCCAAATACATCACTCTGCCTTCTATGGATCTCTCTGGCTTCGAGGAGGCTGGCACACTGGCGTCCAAATATGGAAAACGATCGAGGGTGACGGCGATCGCAAGTTCAACATGTCAGCCGCCTCTCGCCATATATAACCCGCCCAGGTTCGACTTTCCCTCCCCATCCAACTTGAACTTGAACCACCACTGTCCACTGCGTATTGCACATGCTCCCCATTCTCATCTTGCTTGGCGGCGCGCTGGCCCTCATCGGCGTGCTGCCCAGCCTCCCTCCGACGTTCAACGTCGGGCTGATCCCCAGTACACTCCTCCTGACGCCGGCCGTCATGGAGGACTTCCTGCTGTACTTGCCCTCTAGGTGAGTGTGCTCGACGCCTACTTGTTGGGACATCTGACTCACGCCTCGATTCCCGCCAGCCCCGCTGTAGAGGGTACCGCGGCCCTCGTCGGCGATCTTGTCGACGGGACCGCAGGCGTCGTCGGCGACATCGTCGACACCATTCGCAACTCGGCCGCTCTGGCCTCCCCGGAATTTATCTGGCTCTCGGACATGTCGCTCAGCGACATCGGTTATGGGTATGTTTCCTTGCTTCCACCGGTTCGACATCGTGTTGACGCCGTGAGCACACAGCTCGGTTTACTTCGACCTCGACTTCGTTCTCGTTGACACCCTCGGCGGAGTGGACATGGCCAACGGTACTGGTGACCGTCTGGACATGGACATCTCCTTCGTGGTCGCCTTCGATGACGAAGACGGACCCAAGAACGCTTTCAACAACACTGACGAGGGGGAGCCGGACGCGGCCAACCCTCCTGTCAGTGGCACCACGGCTGACGAGGTGCGCAACATCGTCAACCTCAACTCGACCGAGAAGGCCGTCGTCGATGTCGCCACCGCCGACGGGGATAGCGACGACGGCCTTCACACGGTGACCGAGTACGAGATGTTCATCATCCTCGTCGCGGTCTCCATCTACTGCATACCCACCATCCTGCTCTACGGCGTTCCTCCCGTTTTCGCAGTCATCAGTCGCCTCCCTATCATCGACGTTCTCGTAGACGACATCCGCAGCGAATTCGCCAATCCGCGACTCTATATGATCAAGCTCATGTACGTTCTGGCGGGGCTGTACCTTGCCGAAGAGACACTGCTAGGACCCCTCTTCGGTGATCCGCTTGTACGCATTCGCTGGTTGATGGAGCACGGGTGGATCGACACGATGTTCCTGGCACAGGACTTCATGGTCTTGTATCTGTGGGCATGGTGGAAGCTGGTGGTCCCGACAGAACGGGCACGGGCTTTGGACGAGATGGGCTTGGCCAAAGTACCCGTCTTCGAGGAGTGGGTTCTGCACAACACGGATAGTGGGGCTCATCGACGGTGTTCGGAGACGGGCGATCTCTCTGGGCCCTGGGCACGCAAGGTCCTGAAGTCGTTTGACAAGGGTACGTACCAGTTGCTGTGTTTTCGATGACGACGATGCTTATTCTGTGTGGAAGTGTACGACGTGCTGTTGTATGACGACAAAGGCATCGCAGCAGTCTTCGTCCAGCCGGAGACGACTGTGCTGTTCGGCGACCTTGACTGAGCCGCAGGCGCCTTACATCGCAACACCAACAATTGAACGCAGTCCTCGGGATTCTTCCCGAGGACGATGGTGATGAAGGCCCGTCGCGGCGGGTCCATCTACACGATGATACGATACGCTGCGGGTAGGTATTTATTCCCACCTACCAGCTGCGTGAGTACTGACCCTCCGCAGCGTTATTGTACATCCTTCAAGATCCGGATTACCCAGCAGCTCCTGTCACCGCGTTGGTTACCGATGTGCCTGCTTAGGTTGTATATCGAGTCCGGTACTCGTAGTACATGCTGAGCACGCGATCGGCGGCTGGGCTTCTGGTATTCGAACTTGAACGATCTTTCTTGTACACGGCGATCTATCCATTTGTATACAAACTACTTGTCACCGGTTCTTTGCACAGTCATCTTGATATTTGAATGACACAATCACAGCATCCGATCGCTACAAGACATGCTGGCGAGTCACGGCAGCCAGTGCGAAGGAAAGCCTCAGTGGATGAGACGTGATTCTGAATCTCGATGGCTACAGGACGCGATCACGTGCACCCCCGTATCGGCAATTCATCAGATCTCGATCGACTGACTCGAGCGTGTATCCCAAAATCCAAGCAACGCACCGCGTCGACTCATTGCTCATACTGTTTCCTCCCACCATGTCTGCGATATACGTCGACGACTCTGCCGGCTCCGACGAGACCGGCAATGGCATTGCGGAGGCCCCGTACCAATCGCTCGCATTCGCGATCTTCACGCACGGCCCGGAGACGAAGTTGCTTGCACGCAAGGATCCCAGCGCGTCATATGAGGAGCCCACACAGTCCGCGCTGAAGAAGGCAAAGAAGGGCGCGGACGGGTTGGAGAAGAAGAGGAAGAAGGCGGAGGAACTGGCGGAACGCGAGGCGAAGGAGAAGTCGGAGGAGCGCGAGCGGAGACAGAAGGTGCTCGAGGAGAGCAAGAAGATCGTTCTGGAGGAGGATCCGGCCCTCACTGCTGCTGTGAAGGTGAGTATTTATGTCTAGACTATTACATCTGCCATGCGATGGTTTCCTTGCATCCGTTCATGAGGCGAACAATCCTGTGTACGGTCCTATCTCCACGTCGAGATACGCCTTTTGTGACGCGACCTGCATTGGCGATCGTATTCCGTGTCCCGACTTTTATCCAGATCGTATTGCTGCCTCCATAACTTCCAAAGCATGGCATAATATGCCTGCATCTGTGGTAGTGGATACAATGGACGTTAACACCGTGTACTCACCATCCGATCATGACTCTACGTGATCAAGGAATACCTTCTGCTACGCAGAACCCGTGCGCCAGGACTCTCGTTCACTGCGTCCTGTTTGTGTTGTGCATTCCGCATGAGCTTTCGTGCTTAGCAGTGATGTGGTGGTATCACACGACATCATACCTTCTGCCCTAACATATCTAGCGCCTACAAAGTCATCTTGGCTCGGTGTGTCTTGTGTCCCAACCTGATACCCTCATCCACAGTCAAAACTTGGAAACCTCACACCCCTCCGCTCAAAACGAGTCCGCGTCTCGGGCTGGGTGCACCGCCTGCGTGATCAGAACAAGATCATCTTCATCGTCCTGCGGGACGGGACAGGGTACCTGCAGTGCGTGCTCTCGGGGAAGGTCGCGCAGACGTACGACGCGCTCACGCTCACGCTCGAGTCGACCGTCGAGCTCGTGGGCACGCTGCAGCCCGTTCCAGAGGGAAAGACCGCCCCGGGTGGGCACGAGCTGGTGGTCGACTACTGGAGGGTCCTCGGGGCGTCTCCGGGTGGCGAGGATGCGTTCACCAACCGCTTGAACGAGGTAGGTGACTCCGCTACCCGAGTGCCCTCCCCACTTAAAATCCCCCCAGAAATCAGACCCTTCTATCCTTGCAGACCTCAGGCATCTCGTCATCCGCGGCGAGACCGCCTCCGCCGTGCTCAAGCTGCGGGCAGCGCTGCTGAGCTCGTTCCGGCAATCGCTCGTGTCGCGTGACCTCGTCGAGGTGACCCCGCCGTGCATGGTGCAGACGCAGGTCGAGGGCGGTGCGACGCTGTTCAAGTTTGACTACTACGGACAGCCTGCGTTCTTGACGCAGAGCTCGCAGCTCTACCTGGAGACCTGTCTTCCGTCGCTCGGGGATGTCTTCTGCGTGCAGGAGAGTTTCCGTGCGGAGAACAGGTGAGTGGTGAATCCGCCTGAGGAGGTCTTCGTCTGAACATAGCTGTAGTCATACGCGTCGCCATCTGAGCGAGTACACTCACCTCGAAGCGGAGCTGGCGTTCATCACTTTCGATGACCTGATGAGCCACATCGAGGGCATCGTGAGTGCCTCCCACTCTTATCACAGACAATACTGAGGCTTTGCTAGATTTGCAGCACTGTAGATAGGCTACTTGCAGACCCCTCAACGGCAGCCCTCATCAAACAGCTGAACCCCAACTTCACCGCCCCCGCCCGGCCCTTCCGGCGGCTCTCGTACGTCGACGCGATCGCCTGGCTGAACGAGCACGGCATCCAGCATGAGGCGGAGGACGCGGAGGGGAACGTCATTCGGGACGAGGCGGGGAGCGCGAAGATGGTTGACCACCAAGTCGGCGACGACATCGCAGAAGCGGCGGAGAGGCGCATGACGGACATCCTCGGCACGCCCGTGTTCCTGTACGGCTTCCCCGCGGAGCTCAAGGCGTTCTACATGAAGAAGATACCTGGAACTAGCGCGGACGGTGGGCCCGTGTGTACGGAAAGCTGCGACCTGCTCATGCCCGGCGTGGGCGAGATCGTGGGTGGGTCGATGAGGATCGCGGACATGGAGGAGCTCCTCGTGGCGTACAAGCGCGAGGGCATTGACCCCGCGCCGTACTACTGGTTTACGGACCAGCGTAAGTATGGCACGTGCGAGCACGGAGGGTATGGACTTGGTGTGGAGGTGCGTAGCCGGAGTCGCGTCCGTGTGTCTAGGGCTGTACTCACAAGGGTCTCTCTAGCGCTTCCTTGCATGGCTTGCCAACAGGTTCACTGTCCGGGAGTGTTCGCTCTATCCCCGGTACGTTCTGATCTGTTTCCCGTGAGACCGTCTCACTGAAGCGTCTGTCTTCCAGCTGGCCGGGCCGTGCGACACCGTGATCTTGGCTTGATTTCCAGGTGGGAGGTTGCGGAAATAGATTGTAGTTCTCATCATATGTTCGTGTCGAACTGCTGTGCAGTCTGTTGCAGAATGAATCAGGTGTATCTTTCGCTGTCTCTCATGGTCTCTGTCTGATGTGTACTATCTCGAGTTTTATCGAGTCTATTTCAATCGTAGGAAATCCCGATCTGAAAGTGTATCCGAGAGTTACTATTGACGTACCAATTCTCTCTCTGTCTCTCCCACAGACAAGGCCTGTTCACAAGGGCCCAACCTCATGCATACAGAACTTTGGAGAGCAAGTCGATTACATTCCGTCTGCGTCGCGTCTCACACCGGAGTCCGGACCCAGACAGCGGCTAGAGAGCACTGGCAGCCACCGAGAGCGCTTACATAAGCGACACGATCGCCCGACGCGGTCGTCTAAACGTCGTCTCTAGCACCCGCGCCCATCCCGCCGGCGCCGTCACGGTGATTCAAGCACACTGCATAAGTACCACTATTCGCGTAAGCACACGCACTCTTCCCCGACCACGATGAAGCCGCTAAGCCCGGCCTCCAGAGTCTTCCACACCCACAAGCCGTCGCTGACGAGGAGGATAATGTCGCGCTTCAGCAGGGCGTTCCTCGCGATTGCCGTGTTCCTGGTGCGTGCCTTTGGCGCTCGTGGTGTGCTCTGAGATCCCGATGGGTTTGCATTAGTTTTTCATTGGATCGATCGCGCTGCTGCACCCTCCGACGCGCTCGTATATCGACCCGTGGACCGGGGAGCTGTTCGGGGAGGGCGGCGTGGAGAAGGAGCTGCACAATTTTCCTGCGATCCATGGTGAGGCGGTACATGGCGGGGTCATCATGTCGAAGCTAGGGAACGCGACTGCAAAGGCGGAGCTGGGGAGGGCGACGTGGAAACTATTGTGAGTGACCATATCCACCTTCGTCTCGCAAGACATTTGCCTAATTTATGACTGCTTCAGGCACACCATGACATTGAGGTTCCCAGAGGTCAGACAAATACGTAGTGCAATCATTCTCTTTGCTTATGCTTCGTTCCGCAGGAACCGACACAAGACCAACGAGACGCACTCGACAGCTACTTCCACCTCTTCTCCCGACTATACCCCTGCGGCGAATGCGCGGCCGAGTTCCAGCAGCTGCTCCGGCGATATCCTCCCCAGGTACGTTCCTCCTCCCTCTCATCCCCCCTCTCCCCCGACACCGCTCACTCACGCTCCCCGCAGACATCCTCCCGCAGATCAGCCGCGACATGGCTCTGCTTCGTGCACAACCTCGTGAACGAGCGGCTTGGCAAGCCCGAGTTCGACTGCGCCAACCTCGACGCGACGTACGACTGCGGGTGCGGCGACGACCCGTCCGGGGCGTCCGGCTCGGACTCGGGCGCGGGCGACCCGATGGACCTCGAGCGCGACGTCGGCAAGGATGAGCTCACCGGCGTAGGTATGATCAAGGGCGGCAGGTAGCGTGCTGTGCCACTGATGTGCAGAGACTCGGAGGTACAGTACAGTGTTTGAGTAAGTTGTATGTCAATTTTGGGTAATGCACCTGGATCTGCAGTGTTTATTGTATTTTGTATTGAGGGCTCACGTTCATTTATTGACATTCTTGGATTACCCCACTAGACCTGGGCAACGTTCCATACGGCCGCGGAACCCACGAACCCAGGCTGACTGTATATGTTCCTACGGTCCACCCCAGAGCCGTGCCGATAGGACGCACTGTGCAAAACGCAACTTCACCCCGCTCTGCTGACTCACACAAAATTCTTGTTCTGTGCCAGGTGTTACATGATGATGGTATTTTCAAGAACAAACAGGCTGTACAAATCGATAGATCACCGTGTACAAGAAAGACCGTCCGAATACCAGAAGCCCAACCGTCAATCGCGTGCTTAGCGTGTCCTACGAGTACCCGACTCGATATACAACCTAGGCAGGCGGTGACAAGAGCTGTCAAGTCATCGGGAACTTGAAGAAGGATGTACGATAACGCTGCGGAGGGTCAGTATTCACGCAGCTGGTAGTAGGAATAATAACCTACCCGAAGCGCGTCGTATCATCGTGTAGATGGACCCGCCGCGACGGGCCTTCATCCCTATCGTCGTCGGAAAGGATCCCGAGGACTACATTCAGTTGTTCGTGTTGCGACGTAGGACACCTGCGGCTCAGTCAAGGTCGCGGAACAGCACAGTCGTCTCCGGCTGGACGAAGACTGCAGCGATGCCCTTCTCGTCATACAGCAGCACGTCGTATACTGCCGAAAATAGTCAGCATCTCCGTCATCGACGACACGGCAAGTAGTACACACCCTTGTCAAACGATTTCAGGACCTTGCGTGCCCAGGGCCCAGAGAGACCGCCCGTCTCCGAACACCGTCGATGAGCCCCGCCGTCCGTATTGTGCAGAACCCACTCCTCAAAGATGGGTACTTTGGCCAAGCCCATCTCGTCCAAAGCCCGTGCCCGTTCTGTCGGGACCACCAGCTTCCACCATGCCCACAGATACAAGACCGTGAAGTCCTGTGCCAGGAACATAGTGTCGATCCACCCGTGCTCCATCAACCAACGGATGCGTACAAGCGGATCACCGAAGAGGGGTCCTAGCAGTGTCTCTTCGGCAAGGTACAGCCCCGCCAGAACGTACATGAGCTTGATCATATAGAGTCGCGGATTGGCGAATTCGCTGCGGATGTCGTCTACGAGAACGTCGATGATAGGGAGGCGACTGATGACTGCGAAAACGGGGGGAACGCCGTAGAGCAGGATGGTGGGCATGCAGTAGATGGAGACCGCGACGAGGATGATGAACATCTCGCACTCGGTCACCGTGTGGAGGCCGTTGTCGCTATCGTCGTCGGCGGTGGCGACATCGACGACGGCCTTCTCGGTCTCGTTGAGGTTGACGATGTTGCGCACCTCGTCAGCCGTGGTGCCACTGACAGGAGGGTTGGCCGCGTCCGGCTCCCCCTCGTCAGTGTTGTTGAAAGCGTTCTTGGGTCCGTCTTCGTCATCGAAGGCGACCACGAAGGAGATGTCCATGTCCAGACGGTCACCAGTACCGTTGGCCATGTCCGCTCCGCCGAGGGTGTCAACGAGAACGAAGTCGAGGTCGAAGTAAACCGAGCTGTGTGCTCACGGCGTCAACACGATGTCGAACCGGTGGAAGCAAGGAAACATACCCATAACCGATGTCGCTGAGCGACATGTCCGAGAGCCAGATAAATTCCGGGGAGGCCAGAGCGGCCGAGTTGCGAATGGTGTCGACGATGTCGCCGACGACGCCTGCGGTCCCGTCGACAAGATCGCCGACGAGGGCCGCGGTACCCTCTACAGCGGGGCTGGCGGGAATCGAGGCGTGAGTCAGATGTCCCAACAAGTAGGCGTCGAGCACACTCACCTGGAGGGCAAGTACAGCAGGAAGTCCTCCATGACGGCCGGCGTCAGGAGGAGTGTACTGGGGATCAGCCCGACGTTGAACGTCGGGGGGAGACTGGGCAGCACGCCGATGAGGGCCAGCGCGCCACCAAGCAAGATGAGAATGGGGAGCATGTGCAATATGCAGTGGACAGTGGTGGTTCAAGTTCAAGTTGGATGAGGGGGGAAAGTCGAACCTGGGCGGGTTATATATGGCGAGAGGCGGCTGACATGTTGAACTTGCGATCGCCGTCACCCTCGATCGTTTTCCGTATTTGGACGCCAGTGTGCCAGCCTCCTCGAAGCCAGAGAGATCCATAGAAGGCAGAGTGATATATTTGGCTGGCGATGTGAGCCGCAACACTGCAGTTCACGTGGGGTACGAGACAGGGTTCACGAAGAAGAAGAAAGGAGTCAGTAATTGGTAGACGCGTAAATATAGAGGTGCATACGTACAGGGCGAGCCTTGCTGGTGTTCTCTGCAAGCGTCGGTAAATATGGGCGAAAGCACGTTCAACAGCGTGTCCGCTACCATGCGCAGCTGGCAGCGGTGCACCCTATGTACATAGTCCACCGACGCTGTTAGCCAGACCTACAAATGCGGAGGTGGATACTTAGCCTGGTACGGGCCCCTAGAGCTTTGCATAATAAATAAACTCGGATCGCAGAAAGTCTGATGCATAATATCTCTTCATGTGCGCACGTACACGTCCCGGACTGGTAGCCTCAGGCTGAGCGAGCACTGACACACAGAACCGTGCATGCAAGGAGCCAAATAGTACGTCTCCACGACAAGAGACACACCACTGCTGGACACGAAAAGATGTGGGGAACTGCGATGGCCTGAAACTGCTGGCGGATATCACAACTGTGGAATGCACTGAGCAGCGTCGCGTCGACGCCCATGCCAGATCAAGCCGTACACGTGACCGCGTCTCGTACTATGATATGTCATCGACGATCGTGTATGTCCCGAACGGGGCTCCGGTGCGCCAGAACAACAACTCTACAGACACAACTTGCGGCTATAGTGCGGTGCATCGGTGCAACGACATTTAAAGTGCATAATACATCCTCGGCACCATCACTCCACTAGATAATCATGCAGACAGTGGGCACACCGAATCTCCCACCAGAACTATGCGACATCGTCGTCGACTTCCTATGGTCGAACCCCCGGAGCCTCGCCGCCTGCAGCGCCGTGTCGCGCGCGTGGCTGCCCACCGCACGCGTCCACAAGTTCCGCGCGATCAAGCTGTGCTCCCCGCACCGCTGCATGCGCCTCGAGCGCGTCCTCGACTCGCCGCTCCTCGACTCGAGCGGCATCGCGCTGTGCGTCCGCGATCTGCGGGTTGGCGTGGACTCGGATGACACTTCGGCCCGAGAGGTCACTGTGCAGGCCTTCTGGAAGAGCGAGCGGCTCGCGCTGCTGCTGCGGCGCTTTACGAGGGTGCACTCGCTGCGGCTGGAGAACCTGACTTGGGCGGACGACCGTCTGCCTCGGCCTACGGCAGAGGCTCTTCTTGCGATAGCGTCTGGACTGTCACATCTGCACCTGAAGCGCGTTGTGTTTGACACAACCGACAGCGTCATGCACATCTCGTCGGCATCTCCTACCTTGTCGCGGTTACAGGCGTCCTCTGTGTCGTGGCTGCGTCGATCACGCACTGTCGCTCGTGCGGAGACTGCTCAGCAAGAGTTGCCGGGATTGAACTGGCGGCTCGAGCAGCTAGTTTCTGACCCGTCCTCCTACCTCGCGTTCCTCGCAGCGGCAACATTGTATCCGCGACTTCTACGCGCTTCGGTCGCGCATATGGAGTGGGCAATCGCTGAGCAGCCGCACAACGCTTGGATCAGACAACAGGGAGAGAGCGAGGCCGATGTTGTAGTGCGTAGAATAATGGTGGCAGTAGCCAGTGCCACCGTCACCGGAGAGCCCGACGGTACGTCGGCATGTGAACATGTTACTCAGCTACAGCAGTTGACTCCCTGCACCCATAGGCCCTATCGATCTAGTCCGTGACGATCCACTCATCTCCACCATCGATTCACTGTACATCAACATCTCCAGGCCTGTGCCGGACAGATCTGCACACGCTTGGGCAGCGAGCATGCCCGGCTACCTGCAAAACATCGATGTCCGCACGATCGAGTTTAACCTCGGGACCTTCATCTCGGACTCGTTCCAGCTCGACTCGCTCAACTTCTCCCTGCTGGACAGCGTGCTGACGCTCCTCGTATCAAGGTCGAAGCGCCCGGAGGTGGTGGTGACGTTCCGCATGCGAGTCCAGCTGGCGGAAGACAACCTCTGGTGGGCGGACGCGGAGGAGATTAGAGATAGGGCAGCCTCGTACTTTCCGCTCCACATTCCCAAGCTGCTTGCCTTGAGGACTCGTGTGGGCCTTTTGATGACTTTTTTTCATCCGTACCGCCCGCTCGCCGCTGAACCGGTCACTAGAGAAGTTTGGTGGACATAATAGCTTTATGTTGGAATCATCGTATTACATGTCTGGGTTGCAGCTCGCGTCGCATGTTTCTTGAATACCTGCCTTTTTGGGCGTGAAGTGCGTGGGAAGTGTAGCGTCGTAAACATGTGTGTAGGATGTCATTACATAAATGCTTGCCATCTCGTTTCTACGACCAGTACAGCTCAGAGTTAATAGCAGCGCCGACCCGAGCCTGCTGAAATTAACGATTCAACGACCGACCTGCCCTTGCTACTCTCGCGGAGGTACGCAAGTATCGCGGACTATGTTTCTTGCGGACTACTCAGATCCAGCCACAAGCTCTGAAGCGCGGCTATCAACTTGAAGCACTACTAGTACTAGTACTAGTACTTGGTACGAATCTAGAGAATGCTCCCCGACCTGCCATCCGAACTGTGCGACATAATCATCGACCATCTCTGGGACGACCCATCTGCGCTCGCAGCCTGCAGCCTGGTATGTTGCGCGTGGGTGCCCACAACACGGCTGCACAAGCTGCGCGCCGTCACCCTACGGACGCCCGCGCGTTGCCTGTGGCTGGAGACTCTCTTGGACTCGCCCTTGGTCAACTCAGCGGATATCCCTCTCTGCGTCGGCGAGCTCACCGTCGGCGCGAACCCGAACGACACGCAGTATGACTCTGCCGACACGGGCGCCGTCTGGGAGCACCCCGGGCTCGTCCCGCTCCTCTGCAGGTTCGCGCGCGTGCAGTGCCTCCGCCTGGACAACCTCAAGTGGTCGCCGGGCGCGTTCCCCGCACGCGCGGCGCGCCAGTTCATGGCTGCGTTCCCGCGGCTCAAGCGGCTCGTCATGAAGGTGGCCGTGTTTCACTCCCCGGAAGACCTGCTCCTCCTGCTCTCGGCGTTCCCGCTCCTGACGTCCGTCGCTGTGTCCTTCGTCAGCTGGTTCAACCAGGACGTCGTGACGCACTGGACCACATCCCCGCGCCGCCCGCGCAAACAGTCAAGCGAGCCGATCGTGCTCTCTCTGAAGAGCTTCACGACCGATCCGACGTCGTACATCGCCGTCATCACTGCTGCGTCGGTCTCCCAGAATACCTGGCGGCTCGCTCTGGACGAGCTCGAATGGATAGGACACGAGAAGTTCCACAGCGACTGGATGCTTGCACGGGCATACGAGCAGAGCGCGGCGTTCATCAACCCGCTATCGGACATAACAGCACACTTGTTCGCAGTGGAAGGGCGCGGTAAGTCTCATTCGCGAGCACACTTTGCACATCCACTCATTGACGGCGCGAATACGCAGGCCTACTGGATATCCAGCCCTCACTAGTCTCCCGCCTGAACTTACTACACATCAACATCACGACTATGCCCGGGCCTCAATCCTGGAACAGCGCACGCGTCATCCCCGTCTCCGCGCTCGACATCCGCGAGATTCGCTACACCCTCGGCACCGTGCACGCCTCGAGCGTGTTCACCGAGCTCGGCGGGCGCCTCGCCTGGATGTTCCTCGACCGCTACCTCACCAGCCTGCTCGCGGACCACCCGCACCTCGTCCCCAATTTCAACCTGGACATCGACTTCGACGGCGAGCACGCGGACTGGCACGCGTCTCTAGCGGACATCGAAGATTCGTTCGACATGAACCTGCCGATGATGGTCGAGAACGGATCGCGGATGTGTGCGATCGTCCAGTTCTCTGTTGACGAGACGGGTCGTCCCGGGAAGTTTTACCGGGAAATACGGTGGCCCAAGGAACCAGTGGCAACGACACCAGCTGGCGTGCAGCCTGATGCGTCGACCACTGGGTGATTGCACACGACCCTCACGGTCAGCAACGGAGACTAACCCTCACTAATCATTGATGACCGGCGAGCGTTGTTTATGTGTCTAGGGACCCTCATATAGCAAATTGGTCATTATGACCCCCAAAGACCAGTGTGTTCTCACCGCGGAAGCTAGGTAATGTTGAATAAGATGTGCATTGACACCATAGACTCTAGAGAGTGGGGATGTCCGACACAAGTACCACATCACTCGGTACCTGGCTGAGCCGAAGTCGTCGCACCAGCAGTGGCCGCAACACCCGCAGGACCCGGCGCAGGCTGGTCCTTTTGCTGCGGGGGCGGTGGGCCCACCACCATGGACTGCATCGAGCCCCACAACGTCCCCCCGCGCATCTCGCGCTCCAACGCCTCCTGCTCCTCCTTGATCATGCGCTCAAAGTTCTCTTTGTTAGCGCGGATGTACGCCTGCTCTTCCTGGTACTGCAGCTGCGCTTCGCGGCGCTTCTGCTCCAGGTACGTCGGCGGAATCGGCGAGGATTGCGGCTGAGAGGGACGGTCAGGACAACAGCGATCAACAGTGGAGGGAGAGAACGGACCTGGCTGGGGCTCCCGAACAGACTGCTCAGAGTGAAAGAGTTCGTGGAAAGGCCCTTGCTCTGCTGCCATTCCGCGATGTGCTTCTGCTTCATCTCGGCCTCCTTCTTGGCGTACTCCACGGGGATGTTCTTCCCGTGGTATGCCTGCAGGATCGGCCGGACGTCTGGCGGCTTGAAGATTCCTATGGCTGTAGTGTGACATCAGCACTCCCGTCCCCGTCACAAGGAGTTCGCGGGTGTATCGACGCACACTCAAGGAATGGAATTATCGCGATGAGCCCTCTGTCCTTCGAATCGCCCGTCCACTTAGGCATGATGATAGCATTCTCCGGCTGCGGGGTTACGTGCTCTGGGTGTGTGTCCAGAACGACGACCTTCGACAAGTCTCGGTTGAGATAGGACAGATCCTACATGCCGTCAGCTTAGGTAGCCAATCTGGTGAACAAGATATCGCACCTTCACCGGCTGCCCATTCACAGATCGACATGCGTCCCGGTATAGCCTGTAGGTGATGAAGAACTGGTAGGGGTCTAGTTTATCTAAAATAGGTGTTGCTGTCTGTTCTGACTCGTCAACACGCTGAGGAAGAACAGGCGTCGAGATGGCTTACATAATTATACTGGGTGGTAAAAACGACGACTTCGTAGAATTGCGACAGATATGCGATGAAGTAATCCACCCCGGGACGCTTCGCTGTCCGCCAGCCGTGCTGACGCTGCACATGCCCTGTCAGCAAGGGACGAGACATTATGGAAGAGACTACACTCACGTCCCACGTAGACGTCACAAGCAGGTCGTCGATAGACACTAGCAAGGTGTAAGGCTTTTGGGGGATCGAAGGATGCGGATCGGGGAGGAGCTCAGGCCACAGCGGTTCTGTGAAAAACTGAACGATGATTGTGTATAAGTGGCACTATCCAGAAGATGCCTGAGACGTACGTCGAACATCTGGGTGAAGCGAGATTTTGTCCGTCCCCATCTCGTGGAAGGCGCATCCTCGATTTTCTGGACCGAGCTTCCTCAGGACTCATGAGCGCACTGAGAAAATATTGTGACGCACCATCCTCCTCTCCTTCAGCTCCCATTCCTCCCACTCCCTTCCCATGAGCCAGGTCTGCACGCCGGCCCCGACCAGGAAGGCTGCCAACGCACCGCGAGCGAGCATCCGTCTTCTCCGCTCGATACTCGACAGCGAGTTCTCTGAAGACCGCGCACCGGTCCGCTCACGAGGGCCCTCATCCTCCTCTATCGTCGGCGAGAAATCCAGGCTAGGCACTGAAGACGAGGACGGCGATGACGGTCCCGTGGGTGCCGGTGGTGGCGGAGGGGTGTCTCGCACTGGCTGCTTCGGCGGAGGCTTGGAGGCCAAGCATCGCACCGAGTGCGTGGCAATGCGCCGGGAGACGAGGGAGCGGGAAAGGGCAGCAGCCAGCATGGGGGGCAGACGTCGACAGCGTCGAGGTCACTGTCTGAGAATTACTCTAGGGATTGTCCTGGCTAAGCCGTCATTCGGACGGATTGGGGTTTATGTGATCTAGGCTAAATTCTGCAATGCACGTATCAATTCATAAGCGATAGCATACATAGCATACATAACTAAAGCGTATCAGCCACCCTTTTAGAACTCATTCGTTCGATATCAATGAGCACTGGTATGAGGACATCCAGCTGAACGTATTTATTGACAACGACGATTGTCAGCTTATTCGTCGAACTAGGTGCCATGTCCAGCCAGATTTTGCGACAGGTGGATTACTTACCGTGCGGCACTTAACCAAGTTTTGAATCAAGGTCAGGAACACGCAGGCCGAACATCCATGCATAAGTACGGAACGGCATCATATTCATGCCACCAACGGAGTACAAAGGCCTCAACGAAGAGATAGCAGGCTCATGACGGAGGAGGGCCAGCAGCAGCAGACTGACCGCTTTGCTCCTCAGCGTCCACCCCATTAACACCAGCCTTCGCCTCCCACACCTTCAGCCGCTCCTCGTACCACTCCCAAACCGCCCTCCCTACCGCCTCTCCGCCAAACTCGCCATCATCCGGGAAGGCTGTCTCGACTGGCCCATCCTTCTTCGCCGTCCTAGGTTTCTCGGCCTTGCCGTCTTTGTCCTGGAGATCTGCGGGGAGACCAGGCACGGGCTGCTGCACGACCGCACACTCGCGATAGAGCGCGCCCGGCTTGAGCACCTCCTCATTAATGATTCTCACCATGCGCGGGACGTCTCCATCTTCCTCCTCCGAACCTTGTTCCTTTTTTGCCTCTTTGTTCTGCATATCCGAGTCGGGGTTCAGCGCAGCGTCGAGCATGGCACGGGCGCGCTTCAGGGGAGAAGGCAGGAAGAGGACATGTAGGACCGTCTGTAGCGACGAGGTGGGAGACTTGGTGAGCAGAGTTAGGAACGGGAAGAGGATGATGTAGCTAGGACACGAGGGCATTCGTGAGGCTCTCGAGCAGAACACAGAGTAGGCAAGACACTCACATGAGGAAGCCAAGCTTCGAGAGTCCCTCGGGCGCATCCCTGTCGGCGCCGAGCAGCGGCGAGATCGTGTCTTTGCGGCTGATCCCCGGACACGCAGACACGGTGAGGATGTTGGACGGCTGCGGTGTTATCTTCGCGCCCTGTGAGCTCTGTTGTCCCTTAGGCCCCTGGACTTCAGGCGACTGGTTCGGAAGCGAATCGAGGACCCGCTGCAGGTGACGGGTGAGGATCGCCGTGCGCAGGGCGCGCTGCCCTTCAGACAGGAGGATAGGTGACGACGCCGGCGCTTCAGAAGATGCAGCAGCGAGTTGCGCCGCAAAGACCGGGGCAGCTGCCGCATAGAATGGGTTGACCAGGCTGACGATGCGGATGTCGCGTTCTGCGGGCTCGACCAGGAGCGCAGGGAGCAGGAGGGTCATGATAAGGAACGTCGCGAGCGACGCAACCTCCCGCGTCTGCGCGTACGCCTCCGCCCCGCCCCGCCGGAAGAACGAGCCAATTGTATGGTACTCGTGCGCAAAGACAACGGCATCCAGGCGCGTGTCCTGGCCGGTGAGGAACTTGGTACAGAAGTCACGGATGGACTTTGGGTCAGCGAGGTCGACATGGTCGGCGTAGATGTGCTCGTTGTTGGTCGTCGAGCGGAGGAGGGGGATCAAGAGGGAAGGATAGGGGTGCTCGAGATCATACGGCGAGAGTGCTATGATGTGTGCTCCCCGAGAGGCTAGGGCATTGAGCAGGACGAGACCCAGCGGCGTGAAGCCTCCCTACTGGACGACGACGTTATCAACGCTGCTGAAGTAAATGGATGCTGTACGCAACTGTAAGGATGATTACTCGTGCATGGAGGTCCCGTTCGCGGTTTGTTGTGCGGCCCTGTATGAAGGCGTAGAGAACGACGAGAGCAACGGTGGTGAGACCTATGTGCACATAGTACTTGGATGGCACAGCCGTGACAAGTCCGAATATTACTTGGACCACCATCCGCCCTTGCGTGGAGATGCCCACAGAGTAGTGAGAAGGCCTGACAGCGGCGACGGACGAGTGGTACTTTGGATGTGTGAGCGAGTGAGAGGCGAGTAGGGGATTGAGAGGACAAGTACCGAGGCGCCCGTCGTGGTCCAGCTGCACCCACACCACGCTGCCGCATGGGCACATCGACGCGTCAGTTACACTCCGACATCTCAATTGCAAGGCAAGATTGGCGCATCGAAAATCATTGGAACATGCAATGTATATGACAGTAGGCCCAACCAGACCAGATTGCAAAGAAGTGAGAGTGAAGACAGGGACGTGGCAGAATTATAGATACTAATACGATATCTACCGGAGAGACAACGACGATGCAACCCAGAGGTCCGTACGGTGGCCTATGCGCGGGTATATACCATACAGTACCAGGAACAGACAAAAGAGCGAGCGTCCGTTGCGGAGCAGGAGCAGGGAAGGGAGAGTTGAGTAATGTCCGGAGGAGCGCGAGTCCGTGTATGAGTGATGATGTACACACTGTACAGGGCACAAGTCGCGAGGCGCGACCGCGCGAGAGTCAGAATATACAACAGATATACACGGTATGATCATGATCACGATGCAACCGAGAACGAGAGTGAGTGTGGGCTGCCAAGGTCCAGGTCAAGCACAGGCGGCCCCGGGGCAATGGCGACTTGCGTGACATCCTTCTCGTCGTCTTGCGGGGTCTCGGGACCCTCCTCTGCGTCCGCGTCCGCGTCTGCATCCATGTCGTTGTCGCAAAGGAGGTCTTCATCTTCGTCTTCCTCCGGGATGGGCTCGTCGAACTCGAGCTCTTCCTGTTCCTGTTCGTACTCCACTTCAGCGTCCTGCTCGAGGGCATCGTCGAAAATGCTGTGAGACTACACAAAGTGTCAATGATCTCGTATGCTTTTACAAAGATCCAAATGGGACGTACATGAGAGATGAGTAACCTCAGTGCCCGGTTGCATGGGCCCATGTTGGCAAGGAACCCAGCAATGTCGTTGGTGGGCGACCGAAGGATATTTGGCCCAAAGACCGTGGCCAGCGAGTCTGCTGTCATTTGGTTGTTCTCTTCAAAGTCTGTTACCCTACAAGTGGGTCAGAACTCGACACAACACTGCGATCCGTAAGTAGGGGACGAACTTCTCGAGATGTTCGATGATACGTTTGAGGAGATCGAAATGCATGTCGGACAGGCTATGGACTACTCGGCGGATACCAGACACTTTCATGTCTAAATCAGCTCCGTCAAGGGCTAGTACGAACAGTCAGATCGCGACGACGAAGCGTAGGAACAAAGCGATACTCACTGACGGTCCTCAGGATGTCGTCGTACGCAGCAGAAGAGAAAACACCGCCGGGGAGAACACGGAACCACGACTTGATGAGGTCGCATACAGCATAAATATCGGTTGAAGGAGTGATGGGCCATTCGCCTTGGTGCGATGGCATCAGCGAGGTTGGCCGCTCGAAGTGTAATAACACTGACCTCGATTGAGAGCGTCCTTGTATGCATTTACCTCTGCATGTGAGCCAGCAATACGGTCTATGGACGGACACACATCAGTGTTTTGTAAAAATCAAAGGAGACAACGGTCATACATATTCCAACCTCCGTCAGACCGCGAGTCTCAACCTCGGAAATCAACCGCTCCAGAATGGATGGTATTGTCCCCAGTGGGACGTCGCCATCCTGCGACTCCCTCTTGAGTATGACTTCGAGGTCGACGCCGAAGACTGTCAACAGAGCTCAGCATAGGCCTCGGCCAACAGTTGAGACAGTAATTACTCACAAGCGCGAGGGTCTCTCGAAGCTGCCACTGGTTGACTAAGGAGATGGTCAGATAGCTGCATTTTGGTATTCTGCCCAAGGTACGTCAGTCGACGCTTGGCAGCCATCGCCGACACATGCTGGAAAGTATCCATCCACTTCTTCATCTCGAGCTTGCCGGTTGCTTGTAGGAGATACTGGCCACCGTCCTCGGTGTCAAGCTGGAACGTAAAGGACCGCTCGTTGTTCACGAATTGCGCAACTCGGGCGTCAACTACACTGAGCACCAAGGACGGTTTGTTCGTCGGCGTAAAATCGAGTTCAGCAGGCGTTCGCTTTACTACGCCTGCAGAAAGAGTGTCGGAGGTGAAGGCACTGGAGATGGGCCGCATGAACTGGAAGAACGCAGACGACATGCTCTTCTTGTTACGATGTTGTTTCTGAGAAACAATAGGCTGTCGTCTCGGCTGCATAGCCTTACTGAGAGACTCCTCTTTCCTCTCGTATAGTTGCTGTTCATGCCTCTTCTCCTTGCTCAGGCGGTCGCGGAGATGCCGATCGCGTTTGTTTTTCTCCTGCTGAAGTGTGACCAATGCCTGGAATGGTCTGTGGATCTTCTTCGCTCCTAACGGTCCTGACTGAGTGGCTTCGCGATGCGCCTCTTCCCGAATTCCACGGATATCGAAATGCGTGGAAGACATCTGGCGTTCGATGTTGTTGAGACGCTCGAAGTCACGTCGATCGACATGGCGGCGTTGTCGACGCTTTCGCGATGCGGCAGCTCCTGTGGTCGATGAGATCAACGTTCTCAAGGATCTACCGAGGTAATCAGCTTGCGAATGCGTAGCAGATGGCAAAATGCACTCACCGTCGCTTATCAAGGTTCACCATCCCTGAGCTCGTTTCGCTCGCCGACTCCAAAACATCCGGCGTACTGATGATCTCCAGCATCTTTTCCAGGACCCACCCAATGTCTACTGCTAGTGTGCCCCTCGATGCGATGGATGGGGCCGGCTTGCTGAGGAATGCGGCTAGACTTTCGCAAGACGTCCCTCGGGCCAGCGCGAGGTTCTGCCATGCGCGATAGTGCGTACGGCTCTCCACGCTGACAACCGCCGATGTAAGGATCGCTTCCACAGCCGAGCGAATGCACGGACGCTCTGCGATAGAACGCTCGAGGTAAGTGACATCCGTCGTGCTTCGAAGGCGAGACACTTCGATTGCCCTGAGGAGTTTCTCCATGCGGGCCTGACGGGCACGAAGGCCCAGCCTAGGAGGGATCACCTGGCAGATGAGCCATTTGCGCAAGATGTTGGAGGCGCGAATGCAGCCCCTCACTGAGGGAGGAAGTAGGCGATAAAGCGAGTCTTGGCCGAGTTCGGAGATGAGAGCTGACGGCTCAATCTCTGTGATATAGGAATTCATGGCCTGTATCTCCACTTCATCCAACAGCGAGCTGGGATCACGAGGAAGGAACCAGCCAGTGCGATCCGCTGATTGTACCTCGAGAATGTCGGCCGTCACGAACAAGTCCTGTGAGAACCATTGAGTGAAACCCCTAACATGAACAACGTTTGATAGTACCTCCTGATTGACGTTACGGAGCGCTGCAGAAGTCATCGCATCCAGGTTGTCCACAAGCTCTTCTGCATCTAGCTCGTCGATGTTGGGGATATCGGAACCAAAGTTGTGACTTCCTGTTGCGCTCGATGCGCCATCAGACAAGGTTTCGGCACGTGTTGGTCTCAACGTCTGAGAGTAGAAGCTCATACGTAGCGTCTTGCGGAGTTGCTCTAGGACGGAGACTTGTTGACGAGTCTCTTCTGCAAGTGTTGGCAACTCATGCTCCGCGCGGCTATCGAGGAAAGAAAGAAACGAGTTGTGCAGTGGTGCATCATCAAGAATGTCCTGGGCACCCCCGCCTCGGTTCACCCACTCGTTCATCGTTTCCAGCACCTCCGAACGCTTGCGCATCGCATTGCTGACTTCGCTGAGAGAGGACGACTGTAACACTCGTGCCGAGTCGTACCGTTTCCTCAGGAACTGCGGAGATATAAGTGACAGGCTGATCTCTAGTCTCGACTCAGAAACGCACCTCGAACAGGATCTGTGGCGTCATGAAGCTCCTGTAGACATTCCACCACACGTCCGAAAAATCATCCATATCAAGCTTTACCTCCCGGGTCTTTGAGGCTGTAAGAGGCATCTCGCCATTATCGTCGGAGACAGACACGGAAACTCCTTGAAGTCCGTGAACCAGGACGTCGACAAGTCTGTCCAAAGTACCTGCTTGCACAACGACGCGAAGAGCCTTGTCCGACGATGCCTCTGGCATGAGCAAGCTCGTACGCTGAGAAATGGATGGCAACGAGTTGCGTCGAATCATGCTAGGCTTCCGATCTAGCCCATGAGAAACACCAGGTGAAACGCGGATGGACGAAGTACGAGAGACAGTCCCTCCTGATGCCGGGCTGTCGGCCACAGAACTCGGTGGTCGCGAAGGAGTACGAGATGTCGGGCGGGATGGTGTTGACGGGTCCACTGATGGGACGAGGAGAAGCAATTCGCCGTCAAATACCGAGAGGATGGTACCACCCAATTCATTCCCAGCCGCCGTTCGCCCGCCATTGGGCGAGTCTCTACTCATCCTCTGCGGGAGTTGACGTAGATGCTGTATGTCTTGCAAATTTAGGCTTGTGCTACTCTCCAACCGACCGCGCATCAGCAATCCCCTGTTGATTAAGGACACTGTGGCTAGCGGCTCAGGGAAGAGCACGCCCACTAGTGATGGGGTCGACTGTTGCGATGTAGATCGGGTCCAGTAATGTGGCTCGAAGAGCCCTTTGCGTCGCGGCTCCGCAGCTAGTGACAAGGACATGAACTGCTCGATTCTAAAGGACAGATAAGCGCTGCTCAAACATACATAAACCCGAGAAAACTACTCACCGAGTGAACTTGGAAGCTATACCATGCCCGCTTCTCCCTTCCCATGAGTGGCGCCAAACCTTGCCTAGCGTCTCGACATCACTCGGCTCCAACGTTTCGTCAAACTGACCGCGCTTCGTACATAGCGCGAACGCTGTCCGCAATGCTTCAAATCGCTGCCGCGCCTCACTCAAAGACTCTAGCTGCCATTCGTCTCCGGCACCATACCGCGCTCTCTCCAGCGCCGTCCGGATTTGATTTTTGACGTCGCCAGCCCATGGGATTGCGACCGGCTGATCGGACACTGCAACATGACCTCTCTCCTGGGGCTGCGCCCACGATTGCACGATAGCAACGGCTTCGGAGTCGACCCTCTTCCACACTTTCTCTAAGCGAGCGACAGGCCGAGAACAGAGAGCTGAGAAGATGGCTCGCCAGGAACACTCATCCCCTGTCCGTCGGCAGAGTTCACCGATCTTGGCCCAGGCTGAGATGACCTCTGAACGTGTATGCGTCCGAGAGGTCGGGACGTGTCGCTCCTCGGACGCGATTAAAGGGTAGCCGATGGGCGGAGATGTCGTTGTTCCAGCAGGCTCGGGTACTAGTATCTGAATGAGGATCATGCGCGTGAGCCAGTGTGGTTGGTCGTCGGTGCCCAGGAAGGGCGCTAGGGGCGAGGAGACAGATGCCGTGCTTTGTTCCGTGCCCTCTGTCTCTACTGTTTCCGAGCTGAGACACAGGTCGGCCGTGAAGTTATCTGGTACATGCACAAGCAGCTTGCGGTTGAAAACGGACAAACTTCGCGCAGCCAATTGCGCGTCGAGGCCAACGAGAGCGTCTCTCGTGAAGCCATCGCGTTCTAGTGTCGCAAGCAATCCATCCCTCGAAGACGTTGGGCGAATCGCAGTGCTGGGGCGGTCCGAAGGAGGAAGCACGCCGAGCGCATCGACAATAGACATCATCTTGCTTTTGACGTCTGGCCTGGGCGAGAACGCTCCGAGGTCTGGTGACTTGTCTAGATTACCGGGCGACGAGGACCCCACCTGCGGAGAAGCCGTATACAACGCCTGTGTGGAGGATGACTGGGGCAAGCCGGCAAGTTTCGGGACAGCGGAAGGGTCCGAAGGGAAATCAGGGATGGTGTCTTTCCGCCACTGCTCCCAAGCATTACGGTCCACCGGGGCGCCGTGGTAGCTCAAGTATTGACCTGCGAGCCACTGCACTCTGCCAGTTTCCTCCACTTTCGCAGCATCGTCCGCTCCACTGACCAGGTATGCACAGCACCGCATGAATTCCGTCTCGAACTTGCCTCGGCCGACAGCGAAAGGAAAGCTGAAGAGAATGCTGGAGGCAAACTCTCGCCAAGCAGGTGCATATCGAGACGACGACTCTGGTGAGCCGTCCACTTGCGATGTCTCCTGGCCAGTCGCAGCATCTGGGTCTTCCGTGGGCTGTTCTTCTCCGGCGCCTGACCGGTGATCGTCACCATCCGTGTCGCTGTGAGCAACGCTGACAAAGGTTGTCGCAAAGACGACTTCGTGGACCAGGGCCTCAAATGCACCGCGCTCGACCTTCCCATCAACGACCACTAGCGACGGGTGAGTCCCTCGTCCCCAGTATGCTCTCTTCCTATCCCTGCTTCTCCCGCCACGTGTCGTCATCTCGTCGCCATCCCCGCTGTCGAGCTCGCCATCCGTCAAGCCTTCATCCTCAAGCACTGTGACCAACTCCGTAGGGAACAGCTCCTTGATGGCAGCGCTCCGGTCACCCGGAGCCTTGTAGAAGTACAGTTTCGAGCCCTTCATGACGAGCTTGTACGGCTTCCAGCCTTTGGATAGAGTGGGGGCGGCGCTACCGCTCATGTACGTGTGAGTAGCGTGCACATTCAGCGCCGAGGGCGAGAAGTCGACGAGGCGATTGATGAATCCAGAATGGTACAGCTGCGAGGAACGCTTCTCCGCCTTGAACGCGTGCGCGTCGGCCGGCGGCTCGACTATCCTCGGGACGAGCGAGGTAGGCGATGAGGGCGTATCGGTCGGGCTCGATGGATTAACAGGAGACCGGCCTCCACCCAAGCTGAACGGGAAGGGCGAGCGTGCAGTTGGCCCGTGGCCACCGCTCCCGCCCGAGTTGTTCTTCTCTCGTTCTCTCTCTGGCGTACGCTCTGTGACTGACCCTGCCGACCCTTTGCGCTTGGGACTCAAGGGAGGCTGCAAGGCACCTTTCGGTGAGGCCAGCTTTGACGGCAGGCGGGGTGTGAAGGAATGCGATCGCGTATGGACATGGGCGCTAGAGTTTGAGAGCGACGGTGCGAGGGCCGCGCCGTCTGTAAGCGTGGGCGAGGCTGCAGACAGCTGGATGCTCGGCCGGCTCGGAGGCGAACTGGACAGTGGTTCGGAAGGTGACGTGCAGATGGTAGGGAAGGGATAGTTCTTCTGCTGCGCAGACATAGTGGAGGCCACGGAAGGTGAGGGCGCGTTACTCATACTTCCGACGCTGCCGACGCGATTGCTCCTGTACTGCCCGATCTTGTCATAAAGGGTCGTGTCAATAGGCGTCAATGCTGGTGCAGGCATGTGGGAGGACAGTTTGCTGAGGTCGTCTGCCGACTTGGACCAAGGCTTGCGCGAGATATTGCGCAGGTCGCCGAGCCCGCGAGACATGGATGGTTGAGTAGGTGACGAAGGCATTCGGGGAGAGGCAGGCGGTTTCGGTAGGTCGTCGAATGCATTTATGGTGCGAGATAAATCGAGTACAGACCTGTAGAATTGAGTTCATAAGTACAGGATTATCCACGGGCAATATGGTGAAATATCATGGCAGATGTCTGCAGTGCGCCTAGGTGACCCTGACAGACTTCACGCGAGGTGAGCCTCAAACGTGGACTAGACCAAGGTTCTGCAGTTAGGTGATACATTGGCCTTTCAAAAAAGTCCAGGATAAACGTCCAGCTTGCTTGACAGCGGCTATTTGCAGCGTCTTAGACGTATTTTCATGCGCATAGTTTGGCTCATTGGGAGTCCGGATCACCCGATGTCAAGTATTAACGTCCTTCGCCTTCATGCATTCGAGCGGAGCCAAACAGACCCCATTGTCATCCAGACACACCACGGCCGGAGCTAGCGGAGACAGCGCGTCCGAACGAAACGCCCACCAGTGAACGATACCTGTTGTGTGTTCGGTAGCCCAGCAGGCCGCAACATCCCCATGAAGCATGACCCGTTTCCGACACTTGAAACGCTGGTATGCACCCGGCGAAACGCGTGTCAATTGTACCGCGACGTCTTCACACACGTATCTGCCCAAAAGCGTCGACATAAGGCTACCTCCACAGAGGACCGGCGCGCCGTGCGGCAATGAATACCTTTGTGACACACTTCGAGAGCGACGGCCATGGCCGTTCCCGAGAAGACATACTCGCACGCGGCCGTGCGCGACGAACGAATCATCCGGAGGGACGAAAAGACTGAAAACTCACTTGCTTGTAAGCCCCTTCTTATCCGGCGAAACATTCAGATTCTCCAAGAACGGACGAGGGTCCGTTGGGTGCGAGATCTTGTGCTTCCGGCCTGAAGAACTCGTGCTGGACCTCGGTTCGTTGGAACTAATTGAAGAGCGCGACGCCTTGTCGGACGTCGCGCGGTTGAACCATTTCGTCGGCCTCGAGAGGAACTGCGTGAGCCCGTTCGAGGGCGAGACAGAGCGCGGCGATGTTCCCGGAGACGTGGAACCCGTGCCAGGGAAGACGACCTCAGGCGGGCTGAGGGAGTTGGAGGATGCGCCCCGCCGCGGGGCCATGATGGGTCGTCACAAGAAAGAGTGTCGTAGCAAAACGAGGGTAATTGATTGAAATGCTCAAGCCTCGGTAAGGTATACGTCCTGTGATTGATATTAGTGGATGGGGTTGTGGGCGCTGCGCAGCGATGTCGCGTACGCACCTGACGCGTAGGGTTCTCCAGCCAGACCCCAGGTCTTGTACGATGAGTAGACAGTAGGCAGAGAGGCGAGATGAACGACGCCGTCGACGTCGACGTTAGGGGGAGACTGTGGTGGACGGAGTCCCGGACGACTTAAGGTCCGCGTAGCAGTGAATTCCCTACTCTAGCCGTTTATGGTCATACGTATTTTCCCGCACACCGCGCTCCCGATATGGTAGGCGTAGTGTTCGCTTCGCCTGCTAGCTCGAAGCCGGTCCTACATACTGCTGGAGCTATGTAGACTACATCATTCAGCGGCAAGCTGTGTTTTTTACATCCTTTGTGAGGATATTAAATTCACATTACACCTCCTGCAGACGAATAAACACCGGTTCCGCCGCAATCATCGCGGCGTGTTGTAAGCCTGAGTACCACGGACGGCCTATCAGGCTGACGAGTGCCTTCTGTGCTCACTTAGGTTATCCAGATAAATCACGCGTTTATCTACTTTATATTGATCCAAACCCGGTGCTATAGACCAACTACCCCTCCCCCCGCGGGCCCGGCGTCACCGGCATGGAAGTCAAGTACTTAGTACTGATGCAGCTTGAGCTTGAGCTTGAGGCCTGACGGTCGCGCATTGATGACATTCGATAATACACATAGACTATCAAACAGGGTCACAGCTATGATGTGGGCAACCATACATAAGTATATCACAGCTCTTGCTAGACAGTGTGGTAGGTAATAGGTACAGTAGTCAGGCTGCTATACTTAGTGCGAAGCATTGTCGCCGTAAGTATCTAGCTTGTAGAGTCGCACTCGAATGACGTACGATTGATGATTCGCTTTCTGTTTGGAGGAGATACGTAGTATGAGCAGTCTTTTGAACACGGGCATCCATGCGGGGTTCCACCATACGACAAGCCCGACCCGCATCGATCTGAACGAGTCACAGCCCGCCAAGCACGTTGGGTCGTTGTGTTGCGCGACTTGGTCGTCAAGCTCCTTCATTCCTTGTATCCATGTGGCCTTCGACAGCGTCACTGTTGTCTTTCGGCTTGTCTTGCTTTTTGTCTTGTCCCGAGCCAGCGCTACAAGTCAGAGGTTCGTTGCTTCTCCCTCGCTTCGACCAACAACTAGAACTAAAGATAGCTTTTGTTTGCAGGTTGTGCAGGAGAGGACCGAGATGGTGAACACTAAAAGTATATGAAAGACGAAGGAGAGTTTCAATCGGCTTCACCTCGACGACTCGAATACGGCTTGAATACAGCACACGTGACCGGTAATCGGCGTTAGGTTACACTCTTACGGTAAGTTACTCAGTAAGGAACCCTCCACATCCCGGACCCCTCCTCCTCCTCCTTCTCCTCCTCCTCCTCGTTTGACCTATCCCACTATCTAGGGCATTTTCAGTCGCAGCCGGAGCTGCCTCATATACCCGACCAATACCCTCGGACCACGCTGATACCACTGCGGCTTACGCCATCCTCGTCTCAGAATTTCCGGCACTCCGCCTCGAATGTCACTCAGCACGTCAAACGATACTACCGACGCTCAACAAGAGAAAATGTCGCTTAATACGCTCCCTTACGATCTTCTGCTCAACGTTGCTCAGCATCTCGATCTTCGGGATATCCATGCCCTGCAGTTGGTGAGTACGGATGCGTAACGCTCAGGCCTGCGACCGTAGTTCGATTGACGCTGCGAACCCCCAGACTTGCCGATCTCTCCATGACTTCGCCAGTACCAGGCCGGTGTTTCGCAACCTTGCCGTCGCACTACTGCGTCGATGTCGTGCCCTACCGCTTGCCGGTTTCCAGCGCTTTTCCGATCTCACAACGGAACAGCTCGTGGCAGTCGTTACGAAGGCCACACGTCTTGAAACGGCGTGGTTGACTCGATCACCGAGGCCAGCACGCAATCGACCCTTCATCCACGATGCCAACGAAACGGAGCCCAGCGACGACGCAAAACCGGACGCACCGCCGAGTGACTGGTACAAGGTGATTAGCGCGCCACCGAACGAGGAGGTGGACTGGTTGTCCCCAATAACATCCAGCTACAGTCTCTGTGCCACGAAAAGTGGAAAGGTCGTCTGCTGGGACGTACACCGGGACAAGTGCCTGGCAGAATGGGATCCCAGGGAGCGGTGGGAGCTGTGGAAGTGCCGGGTCGAGTTTGACAGTCGCACCGTCTTCTTCACCATGGCCAAGGTGCTACACCGATCGTGCGTCTAATACCTATGACAAGTCTTGCCTCTATGAGTTCTAACCGCTGGGCAGCTACGAGGATCGCCTCATGGAATTTGTCCTGATGAAGCTGCAGTTTCCCGACGCTGATGCTGGCGCCGATACGACTCCAACGCCCACTTTCACGACGCTAGCCCGATTCAAGACGATCGGTGTTGTCATGAACGTTTTCCTCCTTGATCCGTCATCTAGATTGCTATCTGCTTTTGTTTGGGTCTCGGCATCGAACACCATCGGACTTTACGCTCTACTGGACTGGGATCAACAAGAATATGTATTCATAGATACAGGCATCGAATGCGTGAGTGCCGTTTTGCCATGCAATATAATATGATCTAATCACTTCGCAGTCGATGTCCTCAAATTGGTCATGTATCCTGTACAAAGAGCAGATCGTGATCCACTCAGAGGAGAGCGACTACGCTCACCAATACTTCTACCCTATCTCACTACTACGACAACATAACAAACCATCATCACCAGAGTCGTCATTCGTGCCCGCACTGTCGGCGCGGGTGAGTCCAGCTTTGACTATGACGGCGCCGTTCATCTTTCCGCCGCGGACCTTGACGATATCTTCCTCCTCGTCCTCCTCGTCCGAGGAAGAACAACCAGCTCGGACTGAAGCAGTCTTGGAAACGGGCCCTCGCACGCCCTCACAGAATCCCAACCCATTCCCATTCCCGCCATGGTACCCCGAGAGCGCACACTTCGTGCGCCAATGGTGGCCGACGATGCCTACGATTCCCCGGCTCAGCTGCACCGTGGTCTTACTGGCCGAACACGACATGGAGTCACACCGCACGCGGTATGTCCTCGCGCAGCACTACTTCAAAGTGCCGCTCTTCGACAGGAGTGACGACTCCAAGGCCAACCCTCCCTTGGCTGCCGACGAAGCGGACTCGGGGTCCGGTTCGGGCTCAGGGTCTAGCTCTGCCTCTGGCTCAGGCTCAGGCTCAACTTCGAGCTCGTCCTCAGGTCACTCCACCGCAGACTCGACGACGATCACCGTTTCGAGCAGCGCGGATGAGCGCGCGGACTCGATGATGAAGATTTGGTACGTGAGCCAGCCCTTCGAGGTTGTGTGCGTGCTCGACGGCGTGGACGACGACGCGGAGGACGGCGGTGTGCAGACGGAGCGGCCGCGTCCACTGATGGCGGTCGACTTTGGGCACGCGGTGTGGGTTGAGTACGCGGACATGGAGGTCAAGGAAGACGAGAGCGACCCGAAGCGCCTCCGCTTCGTGTCATTCCCGCCTGTCATGGGCGAGCGCGACGGGCTGTACGACGCGGAGGGCAAGCGCTGGGAGAAGCAGACGGAGCGGGACCTGGAGGGCGTCGTGCGGACGCTGGACATCCCGGACGATCTGGACTTGGACTCGGTCGAGACGATTAATATCGATCAGTCTCAGGGCGCAGTGATCATCTCGGTGAGGGAGGGCAAGATTTTCATTTTGTGCTATGAGTAGAGCGGGAGGGACAGGCACGGGTGCGATAGTGGGGTGTTGTGTATGTAGTGATATATCGCAGCGTAAAAGGTTTTGTAGCTTGGACTCCGTAATACGTATCATCTATTAGTTGCTAGCACTTTCATGTGCCATACATCGTCTAAGGATTTCATTCAATATGATCGATCAGAGGATATCTCAGACAATCCGCGAGGACAACAAGTGGTAAAGGTATGACGAGGCCCCCGTACTAACTTGTAGGTCCTAGTCTTCAAGCTTCAAGCTTCAAGCTCTAGCTTAATAGATCCTTGCCAGTGGGGTTGTCGTCATAGAAGACGTCTTGCATTCGGACAATCTCTCAGTACTCGGTGTCTGTTCGCGTGAAACCCATTGAGCATCGACACATTGCGGTAATAAGTAACTTCTAGGTGTATGTAGTACTGGCTTAGTCCTTGCGTGAATATTGTCCGAGTGCACTGAATGACAAATCAAAACACGATATCTCATGATCATCAACGTTAACAAAGGAAACGATGCACGAACTATTGCGTTCAAGTCCGTGCACGGCGTGCGAACTCCGCCGTCGAGTATGACGGGTGGGGCGATAACATCGCCGAGCCGCCGTTCGATGGTTTGGAAGACAAAGTTGCGGCGCTTGTAGCCGACGACGGTGACCGTCCATGAGGCAATGCCATCGTCGAAGTTGGTCTCTCTTCCGGTAACTGGTCATAATACAGCGGCATCGCGTGGAATGCATGCTGCGAGCGCACGCGCGGGAGGGGCGACCCAGGCGTGACCAGCGCACTCCTCCCTGGATCAGCGCCCGCGCTTGCCACACTGTGGCCCTCCGCGGACTCGTTTCCCACCTCGCCCACGGCGGCGAGCACGCCGCGCCACGGCGACGCGCTGCTCGTGAAGGGGTTCGGGAGGCGGCCGACCTCCGCGAACTCGGAGGCCGCGGTGGACGTGCGCGACACCGATCCCGAGGGCGTCTGTGCGTCTGCGCGGTCGCCATCGAACTGCGGGAACCGTGCCACGGCGGAGGACGAGACGGAGGTGGCTGCGCTTGGGCGCCGTCCGCCCGCGAGTAGGCTGCTGGGCACGCTGGGGGTACGACTCGGGGGCGTGTTCGGGCGTGAGATCGAGCCGTGACGGACGTGTGGTGGTGAGGCGGCAGGTGGTGGGGTCAGGACGGGCGTTGGTGGCTCGCTTGTCCCTGGAGGTGCGGCGGATGGGATGAGGGACGCCGTGCTCTCGTTGTGTGCGTGTCTGTTGAGAGGACGATACTCGTGGAGGAAACTCGGCTCGAGGCGGACGATGCGTGGAGGCTGGAGTTTCAGGTCCGGGAAGGGCTCATGAGACCTTGTAGATGCGCTATGTCCCTGCGACGAACTTGCTTTCCTACTGGGAACGGGGGATGGCCAGCGCGGGAGCCATGCCGGCCATTGAGGGATACGAACCGCAAGGTGCGGGATAGCAGATGCAGCATCATGGCCCACACTTGACATGTACTCGTCGGAGGCCTCTTTTGACCTCGAATCGGGAGACTGGGGAGACTGGCAATTCGGATCGCTGGTGTCTGGCTTGTCAGAGCGTAACCCGGGATTGTTGTCGGTCTCCGAGCGCTCGAAGCGAATAGATATGTAGGACTCGTCAGAGTTCTGCGAGCGTGATATTGCCACATCCGTAACAGGTCTCTCTGGCTGCGGTCGATCGTTACGCGAGAGGAAGGGTACACGTAGAGTTGGCTTTCGTGGTAGACTCCATCGTGCGTCTTTATGGACGACCGTTGTCTGGCTCACCATGATCAATGGGCCACGCTCCCATATTGCGCCATCTTCTAGTTGCTGTGTACGCTTTTGTACACGTCGGCGGATGAGCACCAGAACTAGGATCAAGAGAGCAACGAATACGATAATGGGGAGGGCGATCGCCACCGTCACCCATCCGGTGGATGTCTAGAACGTTCATCCGTGCATGATCAGTACCTCGCACTGCGAGATTATAAGGAGTGGTACTTACAGAACTTGACATTACCCTCGAGCCGCCTCAGGCTGATGAATCTCGTTAAATACCAGTAGCCAAGGTGTCGATTATGCCCGCGATGACGTGGTGGTCCGCGGTTGTGCAATCTGTAGAGTAGAAAAATGAGTACGAGCACACGCAGTGAAGTGAGATTGAAAGGTGTGTCTCGGGGGACAGCCGAGACACTGCCTGATAGTGTGTTATGTATAAGCTGCGGCGGTGGGGACCAGGCGCCGACTACTAGACCGACAGACGCTGATGGGACTGCGGCATGGGTGCTGCGAGCGCCGTGGGCGGTACACTGAGACCTGGGAAATGTCGGCGATTCGGAAGACCTGAGCTACAGCGAGCATGCCGAGACGATTTGTTCGAACTGGTGCTCGCAGACAACCCGGGTTTTGATTGGTATGTAGGTGATTCGGTCAACTTGAACGTCGTGGCACAGCTGTTCAAGTCGCGGATACTTTATGAGCGACGTTCCCATGAGGTGTACCAGGGTGTACCGTGTACGTACGCTGTGCGTGCGCTATCCACGCTGCTTTAGATGTGGCCGGCGGCTCTGATCACGGACGAGTCACGACTGCGTGCCAATGTCATCAAAGTGGTGTTTCAACGAGCTGAACTGCCCGCATAGCTAGTCAATCTGTCAGTCACACATACTTCAAACTCTTCGAGTAAACTGTACCAATGCGACTTCTGCCACTTCGTCGTCAGTATCAAATAAACGGTGTACACAGGTACGTACTATCGACAATCCACGGTGGCAATTGCAGTGGCACCATGGCGGCGAGAGCACGGAAAATCCCGGCGGACTGTGCCGAACATGTTCTCTTCTGCCACAGTCGCATCCAGTCCGTTCTCTCTCAATTTTCGTCTGCGCTAGCAGCCAACAAATCGGAGCAATTCCAAACTGATGTGATATCTACACACTGTTCCAGCCAAACTGCCAGGGTTAAAAATTGTAAGCCTCCTCGGAGACGGACTGGAGCAAGGGGGGACGGCGCGTCACGAACGCGGTCACGCTCATGATCTCACCAGAGAGCACAAGTGGAGCTACACACATACCATCGGAGTACGTACGCGTTTGACCGAATGCTTCGCTCAACATCCATTCATCGCAGATTGGCTATACCGTAACATGGCAAAGGTACGTCGCACATATGGCTCGAGCAATGCAAGGTTGAGTACTCACGGTACTACCAGGCGACGGATTCACCGTGTCAAGCCGAAGGTAGCGTACTACGGGTTCACATTCATCAAACTGCTGCCATACTTAGTGTCTCCTTCCTTTGCAGCTTGCGACTTGCAGGCTTGTCTCAACAAGAACACGTATAAACCCGAGAAATGCGAAGAGCATATGCGCAATATGTACAAGTGCTGCCAAGCTATGTATGAGCGGACGGATGGAAAGGGGGAGTCCACGGCTTGTCCCATGCCCAATGTTGTAGAACGATGGCTGAAGAACCACGGAGAAGCCGTTTCATAGCTTCCTATAGACATCACACCTTCCGGTCAGACGCACTGCGCCTACTTGAATCAGTATTGTCCTGTAACAATCCTATGGTCCATGCACTCCGACGTCTTATAAGTCACGATGTGACGCACTACATAAGAACCACAATTTCATTTGGAGCAGTGAGTATATGTACAACGATAGCTTTGGGTATGTTACAGCACGAAAGCAGGATAGCACAGCGAAGTCATCTCGTGTATGTAGAAGACAGCAGCAACAGCGAGAGCAGATTGCCGTGAATGTCACTTGGTCATGAACTTTGAGCATCATAGCAACAGGATTTGTTCGTTTATCGATTCCTCAAACAGCGCGCATCGCTACGGAGAGCTCAGCTTACCAGGGCCCATTCGACACGGAACCCCAACCGCCCGACTCGGACGCAACCGAGCGGGCATCATCCTCGCCGCGTTCCTCCCGTTCCATCTCGTCAGCCCAACTAAGTTTCGTCGGAGGTGGCTGGAATAGAGGCTTGGCGGCTGGAGTGGGACCCGCAACAGGGCCAGGCTTCGAACCGTTCTGGACCAAATTCTGGACCTTAGCATTGTCCTTCTTGTTCTTGTTCGAGTTGGCTTTGCCCTTCCCTTTGCTTGCGGCGCTGCGTGCCTTCGCGGAGTTAGTGGGGGCAGCGGTGCTCGCCACGGACACGGCGTCGTCGTCCTTCGGCTTGACAGCACCCCACACACCCTCGCCCATCGACGCCGCGCTCCAAGCTGCCATGGACTTCTCGTCGTCGTCTCTCTGTGGCTTTATATCGACGCCCCCGGGCCACAGGCCTTTGCTCTTCGAGGGGTCGCCCCACGCTGCCCTAGACTTGACATCGTTATTGATATCTTTATTCGGGTCGACGGCACCCCACAAGCCCAAACCTTGGGACACGACGCTCCAACCACCCTCCGACTTTGCGTCGTCGTTGTTGCCATTGTTCTTGTTGTAAGAGAGGTCGCCGTTGCCTTTGTGATGAGCAGGCCGACTGCTACCCGCTGCGCTCCCGCTATGTTGGCCGACCTGCTCTACCCACTGCCGGATTCCTCCTGAGTGTACGTTGGCCGAAGGCGGCGGCGACACAGGAGTACTCGGGCTAGCGATGCCTTTTCCTTTCGGCAGCTGAGCCGTCTTCGCAGCAGTCGCGGACCCCGTCTTCGCGGCAGTCGCGGACCCCGTCTTGGCGACACTTCCATTGCCGTTCGCATTCTTGCGCAGTCCAGCTGGTACAGGAGGCGCAGGCGTCGAAGGCGTGGGAGGCGTGTTCGTCTTGGGCAGGGTGTTGCCGTTGGCGCTGCCTGAGCCGGGTTTCATCAAGTGCGGGGGGCGCTGCGGTGGGGGACTCGTGACATTCGCCTTGGCAGAGGGACGCTTGAGGTTGTCAGGGCGTGCAGGAGGCACCTTAGCCTCGGGCATGTTGCGCTGCCTCCGCCCGCGACCCACGGGCGCAGGCGAGCTTCGCTCCGAAGACGCGGATGGTGAACGTTCAGTCGACGAGGACGACGACCCGGATCGTGGAGGCGAGAGATGCGGCGCGCCGTCGCGTTCGCCGGGTGGAAGACTGTCTGCCCACTCAGCGGCACTCCCGCGGCGGCCTCTATGCGCGTCCTGCGTGGTACGCCAGGCGCCCACCGGTGCTGGGCCAGACCACAGTCGTCAACTAGGATTCTGGTGCGAGCGGACAGGACTCACTCTTTCCCTTCTTGCCATTCGACTGTGCCGCCTTCCGATCCTCCTCGCGCTGCTTCCGAGTCTGCTTCCTCAGCCACTCAGCATAATCTGAGCAGATCGTAGGCTTGCACCGGCCGTTCAGATGGTACGAGCACTTGAATTCGTCACCCATCGCCTTCGGCTTCGCGGATTTGGGCTCAGGCCCGTTATAGTTGTCCTGCGCCTTCTGATTATCCTCGTCAACCGGCGGCTCTTCTGGAGTGGACTGTACGACGTTGTACGTCCTCGGTTTATCGTCTTCGTCTTCGTCAGACTCGTCATTCTCGTCGTCCGCCATGCTCGCACCAATCGAGAAGCTCCTCGTCTCGTTGGGCGTGTCATCCTGTGGCGTCTGTGGGATCGAAGGGGAGTTGCCGTGCTCGCTCCCGCTCGACCGGGACGACGCCCCGCCCAGATTGCGCACGAGCCCCGGTGGACCCTTGCTCCAAATGGACGCAGGCGCCGTGGTCGGGCCTCGTGGAACAAGCCCTGGAGGGAGGGATCGTCCTAATTCCGGGAACCTATTTTGCGCCCCTGATAATCGATGAGCCAGGAACCATGGCACAGGAGGTGACATGTTACTCACAGCCTGCTAGGTTACGAGGCTTGTTGTCGGGGATGGGATCTATCGGGTACGCTTGCTGCTGTGCGCGGGAAGTGGCTGCTCGGTTGGGTTGGCCACTGCTCTCGGCTTCTTTCATCGTATTCCATGCAGGAGAGCCAACTGGTAAGAAGGACGGTCAAAACACGGAGGATCATGGATGTTATGACGTGCGCACCTGGCGGAGGGCGAGGTGGTGGCGGCGGTTTGAATTGCTGGACCGGGAGGGGGCGACAGAGGTTTTCTCTCGTCGGGTCTTCGGGAGGAGGGTCGCATCGTTCCGTGGCTGGGTACGGGTACACGATCACACTGCGGCGCGAGCGGTCAGCACAGTCGTGGTGGAGGGCTGGGCACCTACTTGTTGACGGGGTGCCACCTGATACCATTCTCCTTCGAATAGAACCACTCGTCGAGCAGGTCGATGCGCTTCCAGCCTGACGCGTGAGATTAGCTCATGTCCACAATACTTACCTGGGACTCTTACCATACTTCTCAACCTCGCGAGTGGTTGAGTAAGTGCAGTAGAAAACCTGAGAGGACATCTTCTTCTCTTCGTTGGTCGGTTTACGGATGAAAGCGGACCAGCGGTGTTCGCCCAAAATGGCCTTGAAGTCTTTGAACTCTCCATTGATTTCGACGATGAGCATGCTAGGGGACTTCATTAAAGGTTATTGAGCGAACGTTGAATCAACGCAGTCGCCGCAGATCACTGTATATGCTGGCAGGCTCAGCACTTGATTCCAAGACCGAGCAGAGTCGCACCCGTCTACCACAGGTGTGCCGACCGGTGTTGCATGCCCAGCAACGTGTTCACTGCGGCGCGATGACGATGAGGAGATACGTACCCTAGGCTTGTGAAAGAATGCTAGGAGATTATCTCTACCGATGCAGCTGGCGATCCAGTAGGCAAAGGCCATGCGATCAGCCTCGATCTCCATGTTCGCGTTCATCGGGTACGGGCGGTACACCGTCAAGTACTTGCGACCCTCATTGTCATCGAAGTAGGGCTGCTTGTTGCCCTTCCGACCCCGGGCCATTGCGAGACGATTAGCTTAGCCACTTAGTACAGCAGCGTGGTGGATGGAGGTGTTTACCCCGTCATGAAGGATAGGACAGGCTATTTATCTGCTTGCACCCACGCCGAGGCGCGTGTGGACGTGGATGGGGTCAGACGTGCACAATCCAACTTTGCTTTGATGATTCGCATGCCACGCCTGAGCCGCGTTGCCGTGGCATAGCGCGCGCTTACAGTGTGGCAAAGCGTTCGTTGCGACGATCAATTGCGCTGAAATGGGTTGGCTTTGTCGTGGAAAGACGGAGAGGGTCGCAATTGACGAAACAGTGGACGCGTTTCATCGCCAGAGTGAAGCCGCCTTTTGTGTCGTTGCTTTGTTCGTCGGATGATGTCTGACCAGAGGGTTCTCGGGGCACCATGCAATCCAGAAACATGCTCCAGCACGCGGCCGGTTGCTTGGCATAGTTTCGGGGATAGTCCTTGTGGGAGATGACCGCGAGGCACCGAAAGACAATAAATGGACGCGCGGAGGGCATTTGGATGCGCTTGTCACATACAGGCACGTGACCGTGACCTTGCGCGCTTACAGGCGCTCACCCTGCCTTCCGAGTCTCCGTCGTCCTTTGTCTACTCAGTACTTCTGTCGGCCCATTCGTTGATGCAATCTTACCTGCCTATTCGCACTATCACCGCCTAGGTCCTATGAGCCTCAAAGAACAAGAACGTAGACTCTGGACATGTCGCTGGAACTGGTGTGCTCAGGCCTTCGACCATGCGCCTGATCTTCTAGACCATCTGAAGAAGGAACATTTCAGCCGGATCCTCAGGGTGGAGAAGCAGGATTGGGATGTCTACCTACGCGCAAATGAAGGTTGTAGCGGCATGACGGGTACGTGTGCGTCACTACATGTTCAAGAAGTAGTGCGGGAACTGTAACCCGCAGATAGTCTGCTACAGGCAATCCCCACTCAGTCGACCGCATCAGCGGATTCCAGTATCCCAATCGCGAAGGCCCAGAGCGAGCGAGAGATTTTTGTGCATGACCATACAAATCCGGCTCAGCCTACCGAGGTTTCTGAGCTTGAGGATGACTTGGCTAGTCCGTTTGCCCAGAAGCCTGCACCGGGAAGTGCCCGAGAGTCACCGTCTCGCGGGCCCCCTAAAGACCTGCGGTCCCCGCTCCCGAATTCATCCCATCATTTTGCGGACTACGATGCTGCCTCCTCCCCCATAACGACACCATTCGCCTCCCCTTTGCCTCCCACCCCGCCTTTACACGCACGCGTAGCTGACGCGATTAACTCCGCTGCCTCAAAGAACGTATCTGCGCTTCCCTTACCTCGCCGCAAACATGTACAGCCCTCTCCGTCACCAACACCCCGCCATGCACTCCCGCTCCCACGACGCACTGGAAGGGTACCTGCTCCCGCCTCTTCTCAGGGTTCGTCGGTATTCGGGACATCACACAGCGTCAATGCTAGCGCGGACTCGTCGACATCGATCCAGGAAGTCGAGACACAGCTCACGGAAGGCATGGCGGGCTCGATGCTCTCTCAACCTGGTGCACGCGCTGGATCGCCCCTAAAGCAGTCGGTAGTGCAGTCGCAGTCGTCTCCTGTAGATCCATACCCACATCCTCGGACCCAGGCTCGATACGACACCCAAGGTGAGAGTAGTGTGTGTTCCCCGAGCATTGGAGTTGACGTGCGCGAATCAGCGTATTCGAACACAGACGGAGATGTCGCCGAGCGCCGCTTCAGCTCAGGCAATATGGTCATCTCTCCCGGGCCTCCCAGTTCCCCACCGTCGCAGTCACCATCCCGGGCACAACCTCCACCAACGCACTCACGCTTGACGTCGCAGTTCAGCTCGGGAACCCTTGTTCTCCGGCCTGACTCCGAGCCACCGGACGCAATGGACGTGGATGAGGGCTTTTGGGCACCGTTGCGGCCTCGGACGCAGGCGGCATATCCGAGTCAATGACTGGTTGGATGCGGCTATTGACTATTTCTATTCGGTCGCGTTCGAGCGTGGTTGAACATTGACATGTTAACAGCGATTGCTCACTCCCAGTATGGTACGTTTGCCATACATACTCCGCAGTGCAGCTCGGTGTGCAGATGATCGAGCGGCGTTGCGCGAGCGTTCCGCCCAGGACTATGTATACGACTGGGATGGCGCGAATTGCTTCACCTGAACACGCGAACACGTAGACCCAGGTCCCAAGTGATCGTGGACTTCCGTCGCTACTGCCTATGGTCCTAGATCCATATGGAACTTGCTTACCACACCAGCCGTGGCTCGGACAGAAATCGCATTACAGGCTGGTCGGTGCCGCCAATGTGACTATTTAGTACTCGCTACAACTTCAAACGCCCCTTGCGGGCTATCTTACAATCCCGTACTCGAGCTCCCACAACAAACGTCAGTGGATATTATATGCGGAACTACGCAACACAGATATACGCGAGGTGAGCTTCGACGCTACCTCTCCTGGTATCATGAGGTACGCAGCAGGTCCAGGCCTATGAGTGCCCGACGAGAGCTGCACACTGTACGACACGATGGCTTCCAGTCTAGGTAAGAGCGACAAGAGCACCGGAGCGCTCGCCTCACAGGCGTCCTCTGTTGCTGTTGTGTCCGCGATGAAGAGGGTCCTGATGGAAGCGTTGCACACTCGCGCTTCCATACCGCGGGGAGGAGGAAACGAGGCTTGTTCTGCGAGTCTCAGCGCCATGCCACAGAACCGCAGCTGAGGACAGAGCGCGAGTACCGCCCGTAGGCCAGCGAGCGACACGCCGTACGGGCGGCCCCACCCATAGAGGGTGCCTACGTTCAGGTGCTCGAGGGCCGGCCAGGCCGCTGCCATTCGTACGACGGAGTCGTCGTCCAGTTCGTACCGCAAGGAGAAGTTGATCTCCACGACGCGCATGTTCGGGAGGGATAATAGCGGAGCGAGGACGCGCCCGTCAATAGCCGGTCTATCGCACCACCATGCAGGCAGGTCCCCGGTGTAGAGCTCGGCGGTCGCCTCTGTGCCGTCGAAGACTCTGAGCGAGCGGAAGACAGAGGGGGAGGCGACGGAGAGGAGCTCAGTCAGGAAAGTGGAGAGCGTTGAGGGCTCGGGGCGCTCCTCGGCGTGGACGCCGAAGGCTTCGAGGTAGGGGGTGCGGAGGAGCTTCAAGAGCGCGGTGCATATCTCGAGCGAGTGGACGTGCAGCCCGAGCGTTCGCAGAGAACCAAATGCGTCCGTTTGCAGGGTGTGGGAGGGCGGGGGCACGTCTGCTACATCGCGTATGCGGAACTCCGCGCGGCGGAGCCTCGGGATCGCTGCAAGACGTGCGATGTCACCCACGGAGAGGTTCGGCGTGTAGAGACACTGCGGGAGCATGTACGCAAGGGCGCGCAACGAGGTGGCGACCCGCTCGAACGGTATCCGGTCCACGATGATCTCCTCCAAGTACGGGCACCTCTCCTCCACACCTGCGAGCACGGCCGTGACGAACATCTGCTCCTCCTGCAGGCGCCAGTGCAGCCCGAAGTCAAAGGTCACAGACATCAGGCTCGACGTGAGCACCAGCTCGAGCAGCTGCATGGACTTGGTGTGCGCGGTGGTGAGCCGGAGGCGGCGCAGGCGCGGGAGGAGCGGCGCGCCGGCGTGGTGCGCGCTGAACGCGTCTAGCACGGCATAGTTGACGGGGTGCCAGGCGTTCGAGCTGAACGTCCCGTCGGGCTCGAAGCCGAAGTTGCGGATGCGCGCGGCGTAGGAGTCGAACCGCTGCCAGTCGTCCTGGACAAGCGGTCGCGTGAGGGTCTGTAGGCAAGTGGATTGAGCGTAGTTCGATATGTAGGTTAAGTGGTGGGTAGATGGGTCTGGCGCGAGAGGGATCAATGACTGACCACGATGCTCTTCCCGAAGTGCGCCCATGCGTCAGGTGGCAGTGTTCGCGCTAGTTGGGACAGACCTGCTTGTGTCTCCCATAGACGGTCCAGTGCCGGGTCGGTCATTGCGCGGCAGGTGAGGGCGAGGGAGAGGAGCGTGCACGACGCCGCCCGTCTACTGGCGCCATCTCGCAGTAAAGCTACTTGCTCCGATATTGCTTCAACGATTTCTGCAATATGCAGGCATGGATGCATGAGTGCGGGAGGTGTTCTGAGGATTTGTACGTTCAAGTGGCTTCCTCCGAGTGACTAGGGTCTATAATTCAGCAAGGACTGTGTATGAGGAGCTTTCGATGAGCAAGGAAAGATCCTCTCGGGGCATAAGGACTCAAACGTACCGATATGTCTGTCCTCTACTTCCAGGGCTCGGAATGAAGGTCATGATCACTGCGTCCGAGTCTACGTGCAGTAGAGAGGTCGTGCAGGACCCCGTAACGGAGGGATGCTGACTCCGAGCTCGGAACGGAGCGCGGGGTACCCGTCCAATGTTGTCTAGGTTATTTTGGGATAATCACGCCCAACTAGGAAGCCTTGAAGCTTGAGATTGTTGTAAACGACTCGGAACTTGCGCAATTGCTGGCGCGGCGGTCGAAGGTGTTGCATAGCAAGCTCAAGTTACGCAACGGCGGGTATACTATGATACTTTGAGATCCCCGGAGGTAAAGGCTCGTAGATGTAATGACACCTGTTACTTACTACAGTAACCTAGCAATGTCAATGTCATTGCACAAGCCAATGAAAATGGGGTTAGGGTTAGGACAGCGAAGAGACCAAAAATAAGGCCTGCCCAGCCCGAGGGCCGAAGCAGGACAGGGAAATATTGAGACGATGCATGAGCCGAAGCCCATACAAACCGTAAGGTCCCCCTGAGGACATGGTCGCCGTGCTATGAGAGACCCCCACGGCCAACGCTCCCGGGACATGAAAGGGAACGTTCCATCAAGGTAAGTATGAGTTGTTCATGTGCGCGGCTGCGCCTTTTATACCGCGAGGGCTCTGCGCACGGACCAGCAGCGGCTTGCCGAACGGCGCGACGAGGGCGCGGTGTCATTGGACGGCGATGCCGGGAATGAGAACATGAGGTTGCTCGCCGTGCTGGCTGATCCGATCACCAGACTCTACTTGGTACAGTACGTCAGCTTGGAAGATGGGCCTCGCTCATATGCCGCCTCAATTCATTGACAAATACTTCCAATCCATGTACTTAGTGCATATCAGGTGCATACGTGCGTGCGACATGCACGAATTTCATGATTGAGGACTTGAGAAATTGTCGGCGCGGTGATGCACCCACGGTCTAATCAAGGTCTAATGGTATGTTGTATGACAATTATGTAAAGACCAAATAAGTATCAGCACATTCGCATCTTGTGCTAGGTCGCAACGCATTACTTTCCGCCGATGTCGGTCTTAGGCCCTGTGGCGAGGAGATGTCGTCATCTGGGCGGGAATCGAAGTGACGAGCTACCGTCAGCTGCCTTTCCGGGCAAGTTCCTTGCCGAATTGGGAAAATGACATGAGCACGATCGACCGAGGCCCACTCTCTCTGACAACCAATGCACCGCCGTAGAAGCTCCTGTTCTAGAATCCTCATCTGTCGGACAGTATTTAAGCCCACTTTCATCGACCTTCTGGTACGTCCGCTCTTGACCTCGTACCCCCACCATCCCCAGCGAACGAACGCAGTCGCGCGGTTCGTTGCCTGCTGTGGTTGACGCTCCTTCTTACCCTTTGGAGGGTTGTGTTATATCGAGATCTGGACAGCGAACGACTTGCCAAGAACCTGCTTCAGGCTGACCGCGACTAATCCTCGCGTGGTACGTACCGTTCTCATACCCCCTTCATGTACGCATGAAGTAAAGCATGTCAATGACTATGGGACCGTTCAGCGGAGATTAGAGACCCGTTTTGCTAAGACGATTGTTGTGAAGGTAAGCAACGGTCGATGGCCTCGTGCATGCCATGCTGTCAACACACTGACTCATGTAGTATAGGCCTAGGCACCCGTAAAGCACTGCGATTTGAAGAGCGCATCGGATCGTCACACGGAACAAATCCGTACGGTGCCGCCCCAAGGTGAGATTGTATGCAGACAGGGGAAAGGCATTCTCAGTCTTCATCTCACTCAGAGCGCGATCGCTGTGCCTGTGCTTAGTGTGCTGTGCGAAGGGTTCGCGCGCGAAGTGATCGATCGGCCGCTTACGCGAGGTGATCGCGGGGTGTTGTACAGCGGCGAGGTTATTGAAGTCGCGTTTCGTCGTGCGTGTCGTGCGTGTCGTCCGCCGTCGCAATGGTCACTGCGACACACGGAGGAGTGATGGGCCAGGCCTGCTTATTCCCGATTGGGTGCCGCGCACAGATCGCGATCTGTGGGAGCGCGAAAAGGCAGTGACTGCGGCGTGTGCCGAGGGCCATAAATACGGCGTGCGTGCCTTTGCGCTCATCCTGTTCGTCTCCCACGTTCTCTCAACGGCCTCCCTAGCCCGCGCGTTTCTCGCTCCGTCGACCTCTGCAAGGCCGACACCACATTCGTTCCCCACGCACACATTCGCTTGTTGACGAACACATCCTACAATCAGCATGTTCTCGACCCTTGTTGCAGTCTCGACGCTCCTCGTCGGTGCGAACGCGCTCACGCCGAACAACATCATGCGGCGTGACAACTCCCTCACCTCCCTCAAGTACACCAGTGTCGGTGGATCTGGCAGCTACAACAAGGTTACCGACCTTGTCCCCGGTGATTGGCCGTCTTGCACCGTGAGCGACTACTGCCAGACGGAGAGCGTGACAGTATCGGGTGAGTAATTTCTTTGTTCATTTGGCCGTCGTGGCGTCGCACGTCTGGAGTGCCATTTCGCGCCCTCGTGCGTTGCATCTTGGGTACGTGCGCAGCCTGCATTTCTGTGCCTGCTGCGGTGAAACGCCGTATCACCGCGTCTCCGCCCGCTTACGGCGCGTCCGCGTTATGTCCCTATTGCTGCCAATGAATGTTCGGCTCAGTGCAGCCTGTGCCTGGGCGAACTCTGCTGTGATAGGCCTCCAACCCGCCTGATGGGCTTCAAGGCCGACGTCTGACTGACCATCACTTCTCAGGCAACATCGCGCCCTTTGCTGAGGAACTTACGGTCGCCTTCCGTGGTCCGATGACGATCTCCAACATTGCCGTCTACCAGCCGTCTAACAGCTCCGCAGCTACCTGGTCGCAGGTCAGCTCCTGGACCGCCGGCGGTGCCGCCAATAACCTGGTGTTCATGAACAACAAGGGCGGAGGCCTCTCCGGTGAATGGTCTGGTGTGTGCCATGTTATCTATCGTTGTGCCATGGCCTGCTAACGCTTGTCATAGTCTGCGGTGGTGCCAGTCAGTCGTATGCCAACGGTACCTGGGACGGTGCTGCCGCGTCGCCCATGGATTCCGTCATGGATGGTAACCTCCCCGCCGGTGAGGAAGTGGTATGTGGGACCACATCCACCGTTTCGTACATTGTCTGATTGCTTGCCAGAACATCGTGACCGGTAACGCCTGCAACTCGACCAACGCCTGCTCCGCCTTTACGCGTGGCACGGCTAACCATGGCTGGGCCGACTCGAAGATGTTCGTTGTGACCGCGCAGATGCCCGACTCATCAGACGCGTCGCAGGTGCCCGCGATCTGGGCATTGAACGCACAGGTCGTCTGGGCAGCGCAGTACGGCTGCAACTGCCGTAACGAGGGTCCCGTTGGCTGCGGTGAGCTCGACATCGCCGAGGTGCTGTACGGCACCGGTGATGACCCGACGGCCGCCATCTCGGAGATCTACTCGTTCAAGGGTGCTACGGGTTCTGGCGCGTCTGCGTTTGCGCGCCCCGTCGACAGCCCCACGACGTTCGCGGTCGTCTTCGACGAGTCGTCCGACCAGATCTCCATCCAGGAGCTGACGGAGTGGGACTACACCCAGACGGCCGTCACGCGCAGCATCGTCAGCGGATACCTCGATGCGAGCGGTGGTGAGACCGTCTCGTTCAGCTCGAACTCGCGTCGCGCGGACAAGCGCTCCATCTTCGGTGCGCACCACCGTCGCCGCAACCACTGAGCGCGATGATCGACCGGTCTCCCTCCCCCTCCCTTACATCGCCTGTTGTAGCCGCTTCCTTGGCCGCTTCCCTCGCGGTCTCTCTCTTTCTTGTCCTTCCTATCCCACATCGTTAGATGCTTTACCCCTTCAGTGTCTATTCTTCCCTATATTCTTTCGTACGTACGCCGTGATTTATTACCTACCCGCGCTCTCCCTGGCTGCTCAGACAGTCGCGGCAGCGCGTCTTCTTCCCTCGGGCGCGCCAGCCGTCGCCGCGTGGCGCTCGGTCGCTGCGTCTCCCCACCTTGCCGGTTCCCCCATGCATAGAGCTGCCTGATGCTGCCCCCTGCCTCGCACACGCACGCACGCTGTCTGACGCTACTAGCCTACTTTGTTGTAGCACGCCATGTTCATGTCGGTGCGCGGATGTTGTTCGCATTGTCTTTTTATACGTATGTGATGGTCGTGTTGTTGTTCAATTATTGGCAATGATACAGGTGAGATATTTGGATGAACATTCTCGTGGGTGGTTCGTAGACGTAGTAGGTGCGTGCATGCTCACGAGCTGTGTGAGGATACTGTACTGCAGATATGGCGTCGCTAGTTGGTCGACGTTAACGGAAACCCAGTGGTATGTCGACATCTTCCAGATTTGACATAGGTACGTTTAGCAGTGAATCGCTGTTTGCGCTGCAGATAAGTAGTCTCTGTTGCTTACCAGAAAGAGATGGACTGTGGTGAGTTCTCGGACGTCTGGTGGCCGCACGTCCGAAGAGTCACCGCGCTCAGGCTGACACTCTGCAACTGTGCGTCAGGCGGACTGCTGTGGACGTTCGTTCGACGTCAGACTGTTCTAGAGTGGAAGCACGAAGGCGGTCGGATACTTTTGTCCTGACGTGGACGATGCTATGATGCCTCGTTGTTAGATCAAGTCCGTTGCACGTCACCTGGGAGGATTGCACGTAGACGTCGATATTTATATGAAGCGTATGGTACTCTGACCCGGAGCTCGTGCACCTCTCTTGATCTCGACCTTCTACCTGCCTTTCATCGACGCAGCGACGGCGAATATTTATCACACCTCTGGTACTCGAAGACAATTCCAGTTGGGGCTATCGACGCTGCCAACCGACTTATCAGGCAGATTCTATGGTTGGCGAGCCGGCTTGTTGTGCTCCAGCACAAGTATCTGTTACACGTCGGTTTCTCTACACAAGTGTTGGGATGACAGTGGAACAACCGAGGCTTGCCAACCTGAAATCTCGCGCGTTCGCCTTTGCCTGAAGTTCTGCAAACAGCTGATAAAGGATTTGTACTTCCAGTGGACGATTCAGCTGCTGAGGCGACTTCGACAACACGGGCCTGTACGGGCCCGAGTCTGTTGAAACCCACAGGATAGCTATATAGGAGCGAAGAGCGGATGCGCGTCTCCATACAGTCGCTGCTACCCTTAAGGCCGCGTCGACCACTTGCACGCGGAACCTTCCACGGACGGCATCATGTACTGGCGTACATGACGTTACGAGTGTTCTCAACAGGTCCGTCCAGGGTCCCTCAGACGACGGATGCAGGCGTCCGAAACACTGATATTGCACTACTTCAAGTTACATTCAAGCCAGATGAATGGCCGCGACGGGTATCAAGCACTAGCAACGAGCACGGGTTTGTTGAAAACCGCAACGTACGAGCAAACCGACGGTCCTCCATGACCGCTCACCAGATGCGCGTCTCCATGAGGAGGTCGCTGCTGCCCTCGAGACCGATGCAGGCCTTCATGAACGTCTCGAGCGCGTTGCGCTGCCTGTTCAGGCTGTTCACGACGTCCGTGCCTGTCAAACAAAGTAAGTGCCAGCACTCGGTGATGACGGTACGACCGACGTACCGGGCTTGACGAGCGGGGCCTTGAGCATGTACGAGAGCAGGGAGAGCACCGAGTACAGCGGGGAGAACTCGGCTTGGCCGGCGGAGACGTCGCGGTATTTGACACGCGTCAGCAGCTCGGTGAGGATGGTCAGATCCAGGATGAGTGGCGTGGCGAGCAGAGAGTCCTGGAACATAACCGGCATCAGCGACGTATTCGTCTCTCGGGACTCATGCTACACACCTCGCACTCGTTGAAGATGTTGATCGTCGAGCGGCCGCCGCAGAAGATCTCCGAGTAGTACTCGTCGATCGCGCGCTTGGAGTCGCCGACGGCGGGGACGTACTTGATAACGACGATGTGGTCGGGGTGCTCGCCCTTGGCGGCCTTCGTGCCCTTGACGGCGCCCGGCTCAGGACGCTTGAAGAGCAGGTGGTTCGCCTCGACCATGTCGTCGACGACGCTGCTCTTGCTGATCTCCTTGCTCTTGAACTGCGGCTCCGCGGAGAGGTTGTGCCCGTCGTTGTTGCCGAGGTGGTTGTAGGACGCGATGGAGAGCGGCTTGATGCCCGCGTTGACGAGGAACTCGGCGAGGACGGACTTGAGCTTCGTCTGGCCCGACTTGAGATCGTCGCCGCCGATGAACGACTTGTGGCGCTCCGCGAGCTGGATGACACCCGGAACGAACGTGTTCTGGGGGGCGCCGTTCACGAAGGGCTCGCCCTCGAGGATGGCGGCGACGGCGAAGAGCGTCGAGGGCGACACCTCGGAGTGCGACGCCTTGATGGAGGCAAGGAGCGCGTCGGCGGTGTCGTTCACGCCGGGGATGATGTCGCTGTAGCGCTCCGTGTTCGCGGTCCAGAAGATGACGGCGCGGTCGAGCGCGTGCTCGGCCTTGAAGCGGCGGATGTCCGCACGGAGCTGCTCGAGGTGGGCCTGCTTGTCCTTGCCGGGCACGACGTGGTCCGCGCGAGCCTCCTGGTTCGCGGCGATGAAGTCGGGGTAGTAGATCGACGGGAGCGGCTTGCCGAGCGCGGCCATGTGCGGCATGACCTGGCGCTGGAGGTCCCAGTCGAGCACCTGGGCACGCTTCATGGCCTCGTCCATGCGCGCGCCGGAGATGTCCCAGCCGCCGAGGACGAGGTCGTTCGGGTGCACCATGGGGAGGACGTCGGAGACGGGGACGTGAACGTCCTTGCCGGTGGACGGGTCGGAACCGAGGCGGACGGTGGATGCGCGGAGGAGCGAGCCGATGTAGTTGGGCTGCTGGACGCCGGACTTTGTGTGCCAGACGATGTTGTGACGGTTGGCGAGGATCGTGGCGGACAGCGTGGTGCCGTTGTTTCCGCCCCATCCCACCATCATCAATCTGCGTGCGGAGCTGTGTGAGCGAACGGGCGTTTTCTACGAGACGAAAAGGTGCGTACCCAGTCTTTGCGACCTTCCGGGCGGTCTGCAGCTCGTACTGCTGCGCGGTGGGCGTAACGAGGTACTGCCCATCGGTGACAGTGACGGCCGCGCCACGGTTGGTGAACGAGGAAGTGATGTACTCGTCGCTGTAGGCGGTCTGCTCGGACTGGACTACGATCGGGTTCGGGCGACGAGCAGCGGTCGGGTGCACGGGGAGCACGGACTCGAGCTCAGACTCGGGGGTGTTGAGCCCGGACGAGTTTGCGGTCGGGTAGGGTGCCATGGTCGAGTACGAAGAGTTCAACGGGGAAGGAGACTGGTGTTAGAGATGATATAAACCGTCGCCACAGGTGTGCTTGCAACCTCGGTGAGTATTGTGGGCACTTCCCAACTGGTTCGAGAACATGCACAAGGTGCAGTACAGGATCTCAGTGAGGATGAGAGGCGATGGAGGTTAGGCTGAAAGGCGAGGGGATTATATACGCTGGCGAAGAAAGCTTGGATCACCCTGGGGCGCGATGCAGGTGGTTGGTGAGAAACAAGCTGATCTGCCCGCAGACCGACACGAGCGCGTTTTGATGGCGGCAAGGGACCGGGGTCATCATTCACGCGTTCCGAATCGATAACATCGGCCGCCTCGAGCACGCCTTCGGTCTTCCGTAGCGATAGCCCCTTTTCCAGCGTTCACCAAGCCCGAGCTCCAATCTCCAGTACCTCAACGACTGTGCTGCGGTTCTCACTCTTGACGCAGGTGCAAGCGTAAGGCAGAAGACGAGTCTCAGTTGAAACAAAATACATTTTGGAGGACGAGAGGAGAGGCGCGACGCGGTAGCCCGAAACTCCAAGTCAAGTTAGCTTCCAGGTACGGTATCCAATCTGGATATATGGTTTCTCCACCACGCAACACGAACCCCAAAGATCTGCGCGGAGAGGAAGTCATCGAGCTTATGTAGGCAGGCAGACGGCACATCCACCCCGAAGTCTGCTTTACGCAAACGCAAGCGGCAAACGCGACGTTTTCACGACCCTCGCTTAAGCGCGCACGCACAGTCCACGTTCACGCCTTCTGGTGTTTTCGTGAAACGAACGAGGGCACTGGCAGATGGCCCCCGTCTCGCCTAGGACGAGTACCAGATCCGGTGATGAAGAAGCCGTCTGTCGTCCCACCATGTCGTGCGATACGATGTTGCGTATCCACCCGATGAGCAAGGGCAGGGTTGCTGACATTCCCGAACGAGCCTATATTGTATTGCTGTTCCTTGTCTTGGAAGACTTGGCCCGCAGTTTGAGAATGTCGGGGTTTGGTGAGTACAGCCATGTACGCGGGTCTGATGCATGAACCCACAGGTTTCTGACAGAAGATCCAGCTGCAACGTACTGTGAGTGCTTCCTTGGTGCCACTGTACGGCAGACGAGCTAACGCTCGCTCGGCGCGGCGCACGGAGTCGGAGAACGCCAATACAGCGAACACTAAACAGACATTTTGGGTGGATTTGTTGACCCCGCATCTAGGTATTGAATCTTCGTATTGGTGCCGGAGGCGCCGCCGTTGCCCTTGGGGTTGACCAAGCTGCGGTTGAGACCAGGTTACGCGCACTGGCACGTAACGCGTGAATAGGAGATCAATGTCTTGCAACGATATAGCCTGCTAAGGATTGGGAGGCGTCAGTGAGTAGGTTCATTGAAATTGTCGACGAAGTGCTCAAGCTCTCAGACTCCATAGGCTTTTCATACGTTGGGTGGACACGCCGGCGCAGGTCAACTAGCTATCTCCAGCCAGATATAGATGTCCTTTTGCCTTAGGGTCGTCCGTCCGGTGGTCGACACATCCTTGGCATACCAACTGACGCCATGCGTGAGCACGCCCAAGAGCACTCTTCAAATCAGAAGAGTTCTTTAATTCAGTTTTCTGTCGAGCCGCACGACACAAAGGGTCCTGAGGATGATTCCGGTGAGCAGTATGTAATCCGTGAGCGGAAATAGGTTGACGTTTGGGGACGTGGTAGCCCGTACGAATTCGTGCGTCGTAATCACGGGAACATCACCTCGTTCGTCCACTGGCGGAGGAAAATTGTAGACGTTACAGGTGCCCGTTGGAGCGAAAGGGGAACCCGGTCGGAGCGTTCAGTATAGGACTGAATTGAAACAGTCACACATAGGAAGGAGGGTCTTTTTCGCGACGAGAAGCCTATGTAGTCCCGTATTACTGTCACGTCGGGGTCTCCGCTCGGCTGTCTGCGTTACGGTTAGAACGCTGAGATCTCGAGACTCCAAGGGTGTTACAGGCAACACGATACCATTCATAATCTGTGGGCAGATTGCACATTGCCGTGTAGTCTCGAACACGTCTGAAAGCCGTTCTCGAGCAGTTGGTTTGGTACATGACGCGTGACGCGTGACGTCCCAGCAGCGAAAGGGCCGCATACCCGCAGCCTTCATTGAACAGCCTGAAGGTCATACCGATCAGTTGCCTACAAGACACTGCAGTCATTGAGAGTCCACTCTCCGACGACTGCATACTGTGTTGGCCACAAGTTGTCGGAACACTTCTCGCAGTCCTCCCGACTATATTGAAAGCGAGAAACTGACGGCATTGGAGTTGCAGATCCCATATCCTCCTGGGAGCATCGCTGCTGCAGAAGCTGTACAAGACTTCTGTAAAGTTCTGGTGCAAAAATGCTTCCAGGGATTGGAGACGGCCGTTGCTCACGCCGCATGTCACTGAGAACGGGCACCTGCCCGTGTCAAACCAAGTGCTGAATCGTACGTCATATATCCCAGGCTGATGCATAGCAGTCGGCCGCGCCATTCGATCCATCGAAGCACACGATGCCTATGGCACAGTTCCAATTCTATATCTGAGTCAATCGTGCTGTGAGCAACCGTGAGCACCGATCCTACCTCCTCGACGCGCAGGATGTTTTTCCACGGCTAAATAGCTTGTTCACCGCATCACTTCCGTTCAACTATCCTCGGACGTTGCATGACTCGTCCCTTCAGCCTGTGTCTTCCTGTCTGTATGCCCATTGATGAACGACTCGCCGCCCGATGGCATGCTAGTTCCTTCTTTATGACTGCACACCGGCACTTCCGCGCGAACCGTCACCATTTGACGGAGAATAGTCAACATCACGCGAATCAGTTGGCGAAGACTGGTGCGACATACAGCAAGATCCCGTACAACATCGTCCTTCAGTCAGCGAACCATTCCGCGCCACAAAAACAACAACAGTTCGAACATCGTCCGTCCGACAGTCCAACAGTCCGTAACACCTCGGCTCGGGAACAGTGCCGACTTCCGCCATGGCCCAAGCTCAGACGATCTCCCATTCTACGCCAGAGATGATGCCTGCGTCCGTAGACTCAAACTCTTCAAACGCGGCGGGCGAAAAGCCGACGTACGATTCCGAGGCGTCCGGTGCGTAGTCGACGATCGGCGCCGTCACGTTGGTGCCGTTATCTGCAAAATGTGAATGAGCCCTGAGGGTGAAACAAGAGGGCAGCTACGTACAGGAGACGGTCAAGTTGTGATCACAGATGGGGTTGCTAGAGACGAGGGATCAGGAGATGGAGACACGAGCCTGATGAATGTCTTAGACGTACTCATTCGGGTTCGGAGTCGCGCCTCTGGAGAGCTGTCAGTGAACATCGCTCGGGAGATGAGTTGGAGACATACGGGAAGTTGTTAAAGACATCAGCGGAGACGGACGCCACGACCTGGTCGCTTGTGTTCGTGAAGCCGCATGCGCCGAGCCCCGGAGTGAACCAGAACACTGACAGTGCGAGACGTCAGATTGTACAGTAGCGCAGTATGTATGTGCAAGACTACTCACAGGTACCGTTAGTGCTGTTTAGCGCCTGCGCGCTGGCGAGCCCGAGGAAGGAGGCGAAGACGACGACAGAAGCCTTCGTGAGCAGCTGCATGACGGAGATGGATGCGCTGAATGCTCGGTGCACGGAGCGGTTGGGGGAAGCGACGACTAAGTACCTACTGTGTTCTGTCCAGTCGCACTGCCTTTATACGAGGACTCTCCGCCCTAGCGGAACCGGTTTCGTGTGCGTCGTTTCTTGTCCATCACGACCGAAGTCAGATGGCCCGTCGACGAGTGGGAATGGGAGCATCGTAGGTAACTTGCCGTCGGTAGCTGTCATATACTCTGTGGCTTCTTCGCTCGCATAGACTGATTGAACATCTGCTCTGGGCTTAATGAGCGGCGCGGCGTCAGGACACCGCGACCTAGCACGGCGTAACGTTGCGACGCCCAATGAACACGCTCGAGAACGTGAGTGACGATTGCGGCGTGTCGAAGACGTACCACGGAAGTACGAGAAGCATCCGGACATACATACGTGCGTGGAGAACGATACCGCATGCAACGATGCCGGATGACCTGCACCACGCCAACTTGCAGGAAGCGCGATCAAAATGGAGATGACCGCAATGAGGCCAAAAGTCTTCCCATGACCATTGTACAGCCAAGATTGCCATGCACGAGGATGCTGAATGCTAGGAATCAATTGACTGATCAAGCGCAAATGCGGTGAGTAGTATAGCAGAATTGTACTCACAATGATCACGTCGACATATACAGATGTATGCTGTGCATTCAGCAAGCCTATACGGCGAAAATACAGCGATAGACTCAGATCTGCCGTACCGTGAATTAATCAAATGTCAGCAGTATATGTACGAGGTATCGCGCAAAGTCAAGCGTCGCCTGTCGACCACCGGCGTGGAAGTCAAGCCAGCAGTCAGCGGTCCTGCAGGGCCCAAATAGTCGTTCCGGGCAGTTCGTATTGAGTTATAAGACGCTAGTACCGACTCCCTATTGCAGTCCTTGGTTTCAATTGATAGGTAGTCGACCTGCAACCAAGTGACTGAGGCCGCGGCGGCCTGAGCGAGTTCGACGGACGCGACAAAACGCGTACGGGCGTCTATTGACGCGTCTGCCCTTGCGCGTTCTCAATCATCTCCTCTCTTTCCTCCTCCCCGTTCTCGTTCTGCTTTTCTCTATCGTGACCACTCTGGAACGAACCGCACAGCACGGTTTTTACGACTAGACCCCGACTGATTGAAAACTAGCAAACGAAGAGTAGTTCACGATGGCGTTGAAGGTACCGAAAGCAAATAATATGCAGCTCTTCAAGGAGGGCTACAAGGTTAGCTCAGGTAAGAGCTCACACAGGCTTGATCAACAGTGCACCTAACCTGACCCACTCAAGGCATCGAGGATGCTGTCCTTCGAAACATCCAGGCTGTCGCCGAGTTGTCTGATCTTGTCCGGACGAGCTTTGGTCCAAACGGTGCGTTTCTCCAGATGGCGGGTTTGGATTTTTCATCTGACGAATTTCACTACATCCCTCAGGGCGTAACAAGCTTGTGGTGAACCATCTGGGTCGGCTGTTCGTTACTTCCGATGCCGCAACCATCATCCGCGAGATCGAGGTCGTACATCCGGCGGCGAAGTTGCTGGTCATGGCGGCACAGGCGCAAGAGGCAGAGATGGGAGACTCGACGAACATGGTGTTGATCCTTGCGGGCGAGCTCCTGAAGAAAGCCGAGCATCTGCTCATCATGGGTCTCCATCCGAGCGAGATTGTGAAGGGGTACGAGCTTGCGTCCACGAAGGCATTGGCTGAACTCGAGAGTGCGTCCCGGTGTTCTTGATCTGCGCTCTCTCTTGAACTCCTTTTATGCAGACCTTCCAACACGGTCATTGGACACGCCACCAACACAATCGGGACTTGCTGCCGCGCTCAAGCCCGCGATCGCGTCAAAACAGTATGGCTATGAAGACATGCTTGCATCGCTGGTCGCAGAAGCTGCTCTGGCAGTTATGCCGCCCAACCCCAAGAACTTCAACGTCGACAACGTTCGTGTCGTCAAGATCATGGGTGGCAGTCTCGCGGGCAGCCAGGTCGTACTCGGCATGGTATTTGGACGGCAGCCTGAGGGTGCGTCCGTTTCGTCAGTTCGTTCATACGGAATATTCACTCATACTTTCCTATAGGTATGGTCACAAAAGTGAAGAAGGCGAAGGTCGCGGTCTTCACCTGTGGGTTGGACATCGCACAAACGGAGACGAAGGGCACTGTGTTGCTCAAAAACGCGGAGGAGATGCTCAACTTCACTGCGGGAGAGGAAAAGCACCTCGAGAAGGTCAGTGTTCTGCATAGTAGGTGTGTGTATTGACAGTCCGCTCACTGGGCGACCTGCAGATTTTCCAAGAAATCGCGGACTCCGGCGTGAAGGTCATCATCGCCGGCTCCACCATCGGCGAGCTCGCACTCCACTACCTCAACCGTCTCAACATCGCCGTGCTCAAGGTCCTCTCCAAGTTCGAACTGCGCCGGCTTTGCCGCGTCGTCAACGCGACGCCACTCGCGCGGATGGGTGCGCCCACCGCCGAGGAGGCCGGCTACGTCGACGTCTTCGAGTGCATCGAGATCGGCGGGGACCGCGTCACCGTGCTGCGCCAGCTCACACCGGACGACCCAGACTTCGACCCGAACACGCCCGGAGAGAAGACGCGCACGGCGACGATCGTGCTCCGCGGCGCGACCGCGAACAGGTTGGACGACCTCGAGCGTGCGGTGGACGACGGCGTGAACGTCATCAAGGCGCTCCTCAAGGACGCACGCCTCGTGCCCGGCGCGGGTGCGACGGAGCTCGAGCTCGCAAGGCGCGTGGAGACGTACGGCGCGGGCCTGAAGGGCCTCTCGCAGCATGGCGTCCGCAGGTGGGCGAGCGCGCTAGAGGTCATCCCGAGGACTATCGCGGAGAATGCGTTCGGTGGTGCGGAGGGCAACGAGATTGTCAGCCGGCTCTGGGCGAAGCACGAGGGTGCTTCTGGGGAGTACTGGGGCGTGGATGTTGAGGTGCGAATGATCGCTTTTATTGTTATCCGTTCTTGCTGATTTTTCCGCGCAGGCGGAGACCGATGGCACGCTCAACACGAGCGAGCATGGGATCTACGACTCGCTGGCGGCGAAGACTTGGGCGATCAAACTCGCGACCGAGGCGGCGGTCTCGGTGCTCAGTGTCGACAGTATCATCATGAGCAAGCCTGCCGGTGGGCCGAAGATACCGCAGCAAGCGGGCAACTGGGATGAGGACGACTGAGCGTGCATTAAAAGGTAGAAATTGTCTAATATACTGTACAATTGCATCTGCTTCGTCTATATCAAGTGTGTGGTCAATGTTGCCTGCGGGCTTTTGCATGGTTCAGATTACGGCAAGCTAGACCTATCGGCTTTCGCATAGCGATGAGGTTCTATGGGTCATTGGTATTAACTGCTGCGTGCAACACGACGATCCAGATCGCAGCGCATCTACTCCAGCTCTGTGCAATGTCTCTCTCTGAGCACGTCCTGCTGCGACACTTCAATCATTCACATCATTCAGTAAGTGCGTATTCTCATACCAGCGTATGACGCTGAAGTCCCGAATGCAGATGTCAAGCTGGCCGAGAGCTACATCGCTGTTCTGGCATCCACTTCGAAGTAGGTATTCAGCCATAGTGGTTGCCACCCGAGCTTACACTACATGACGTTGTATGGCCCGGCGATGCGGATTGATTCGCAGACGATATGCTTCACACACTGCAGTGCAAGCCGCTCTGACGTCGAGATGGCTGACGCAGCGACATCCGAAACGGAAACCCGATCGAAGGTGACGGCGATCGCAAGTTCAACCTGCCAGCCGCCTCTCGCCATATATAATCCGCCCAGGTTCGACTTTCCCCCCTCATCCAACTTGAACTTGAACCACCACTGTCCACTGCGTATTGCACATGCTCCCCATTCTCATCTTGCTTGGTGGCGCGCTGGCCCTCATCGGCGTGCTGCCCAGCCTCCCCCCGACGTTCAACGTCGGGCTGATCCCCAGTACACTCCTCCTGACGCCGGCCGTCATGGAGGACTTCCTGCTGTACTTGCCCTCTAGGTGAGTGTGCTCGCTGCCTACTTGTTGGGACATCTGACTCACGCCTCGATTCCCGCCAGCCCCGCTGTAGAGGGCACCGCGGCCCTCGTCGGCGATCTTGTCGACGGGACCGCAGGCGTTGTCGGCGACATCGTCGACACCATTCGCAACTCGGCCGCTCTGGCCTCCCCGGAATTCATCTGGCTCTCGGATATGTCGCTCAGCGACATCGGTTATGGGTATGTTGCCTTGCTCCCACCGGTTCGACATCGTGTTGACGCCGTGAGCACACAGCTCGGTTTACTTCGACCTCGACTTCGTTCTCGTTGACACCCTCGGCGGAGTGGACATGGCCAACGGTACTGGTGACCGTCTGGACATGGACACCTCCTTCGTGGTCGCCTTCGGTGACGAGGACGGTCCCAAGAACTCTTTTAACAACACTGACGGGGTGAAGCTCGACACCGCCAACCCTCCTGTCAGTGGCACCACGGATGACGAGGTGCGCAACATCGTCAACCTCAATTCGACCGAGAAGGCTGTCGTCGATGTCGCCACCGCCGACGACGATAGCGACGACGGCCTCCACACGGTGACCGAGTACGAGATGCTCTTCATCCTCGTCGCGGTCTCCATCTACTGCGTACCCGCCATCCTGCTCTACGGCGTGCCTCCCGTTTTCGCAGTCATCAGTCGCCTTCCTATCATCGACATTCTCGTGGACGACATCCGCAGCGAATTCGCCAATCCCCGACTCTACATGATCAAGCTCATGTACGTTCTGGCGGGGCTGTACCTCGCCGAGGAGGCACTGCTAGGACCTCTCTTCGGTGATCCATTCGTGCGCATCCGCTGGCTGATGGAGCACGGGTGGATCGACACGATGTTCCTGGCACAGGACTTCATGGTCTTGTACCTGTGGGCATGGTGGAAGCTGGTGGTCCCGACAGAGCGGGCGCGGGCTTTGGACGAGATGGGCTTGATCAAGGTTCCCATCTTTGAGGAGTGGGTTCTGCATAAGACGGATATCGGAGCGCACAGACGGTGCTCGGAGACAGGCGGTCTCTCTGGTCCCTGGGCACGCAAGGTCCTGAAGTCGTTTGACAAGGGTAGGTTCTACTTGCTGTAACATCACGAGTCGCCACGGTGCTGATGTCGCGGAAGCATACGACGTGCTTCTGTATGACGACAAGGGCATTGCGGCAGTCTTCGTGAAGCCGGAGACGACCGTGCTGTTCGGCGACCTTGACTGAGCGGCAGGCGTCCTACGTCGCAACATCATCGATACCGCCGTCAGGTGCTATTTCAACGACGACGACATCGAAGGCCCGCCATTGTCGTGCGCATCTACACGATGGTACGACACGCCGCAGGTAGGTACCTGACTCCACTCGCTGGCTGCATCCGTATCTGATGTTCTTCTACAGCGTTGCCGTACATGAATCCTCCCATCGGATTGGCATCTCTCGTCGAATGGCTTGCTTAGGTTGTACGTCGAGCATGTGTGGCGTGTGCATCGCAACGTACTTTTCCACCAATTTGAGCAATGAACATCGTCGCCATACATATTACGAGCCATAACTCAAGGGTACATGAGCTCGAACTGGTGCAAGGCGACGATACGTACAACGCGTTTGATCAATGAATAACGGCGCGTTGATCACGTGGAATACATGTTTGTTGACCGGCTCAAGACCGGCTCGAGACGCGTTGCGAGACGCCGGACTCAGCCTTTGATTAATTTGATTCGTCGGCGTATCGCTACGCAAACGACGGGTGGTCCGTGCGCAGAGCCCTCGCGGTATAAAAGGCGCAGCCGCGCACATGAACAACTCATACTTACCTTGATGGAACGTTCCCTTTCATGTCCCGGGAGCGTTGGCCGTGGGGGTCTCTCATAGCACGGCGACCATGTCCTCAGGGGGACCTTACGGTTTGTATGGGCTTCGGCTCATGCATCGTCTCAATATTTCCCTGTCCTGCTTCGGCCCTCGGGCTGGGCAGGCCTTATTTTTGGTCCCTGCGCTGTCCTAACCCTAACCCTATCGTATCATCGTATTGAAGACTTTCGTTCAAGGCCGTACAAATTAATGACGTCTGCATTGTTTCTGCTCACTTTCATTCACAGCACATAGTGTGCACAGTGTTAATTGAGCCCAAGATTACACTCAGCTGAGCTGTAAGCGGTTTGTATTCCCAATACAGTTGAGTGCTTACTTGGAATCAGGACGCACATGACCGCGTCGATGACGTCGCCACAGCAGCTGCAGGTTGTGCCCGCCCAGCACGCATGCCAGTGGCTGTCCGCCGCTGTCCCTCTGCTTGACACCGCCAGGTCTGCAGACATGGGTCGACTAACGTCCTGGCTGAAGGCACCGTTCCACTTCACTTCGCCATCGGTCACTGCGCTCGCGGGCCTCATCTACGTCGTGATCTTCGCGAGCGTGTTGTACACAGACGAGCTCACCGGCGTACCCAAGAACACGAAGGGTCTGGATGTTGACCGCGCGTATGCAGACCTACACCAGGTGAGTTATTGAAGGCAGCGAGTCACTGTTGTATGCCTCTACGCGCGTTCCTTCTTCGCATCTCCGCTCTGCCTGAGTAGACATGGCCAGTATGGCGCATCGACGAGTTGCAGTCGGGATGCGCCAGACTCGGGGATGAACCATGTGCGATTTCCCGTGCTGCATAGATGGGTGGGGATTGTTCCAGGACTACAATAGCAGAGCAGTTACTCTGACGACACGCACGTCCGACAGTGACACCGAGAACGCCGACTGTCAGTGTCAATTTCGCATACGGATCCGTATGCCAAAAACGCGTCTCTCCAACAGCCAGCTGACTGCGTCCCCCCCCTCTCGCGATGCCTTTGCAAACCTACTCTTCAGACACAACAAGAAGATGTGTAGTTTGGGCTCTGCCATGCGCTTGTCAATGGGGCTATCCCATGCTCTTGAAAGTGCTTTGGATCTGAAGGGTTGACGGTGTTCTAGCATGTATGCAAGTCCATGACTGTCTATGTGCCTGGTTCTGCAGCATCACGATACGTAGAATTCACTTCATGTCATGTATCGGCTTCACACAATATTATTTATGATCGTCTCTGACCACAAATCATTTCACCACAGATCACCGTCCGCCCGCATCCCTACCTCTCACACGCAAATGACGACGTCCGCGCCTACCTTCTCTCCCAGCTCGCGCCCATCGCGGCGCAACACGAACATGTACACCTCTCGGACGACCTCACCTCGAACGCGTCGTTCGTCTCCCCCGGCATCCTCAAGGGCCAGACGCGCACCGGCATTTATTTCGAGGGCACGAACATCCTCGTCAAGATCGACGGCACAGACACACCGCTCGCCGACCCGGAGGGCCAGCACGACGGCGTGCTCTTCTCCGCGCACTACGACTCTGTGTCGACTGCGCCGGGGGCGACGGACGACGGCATGGGCGTGGTGACGCTCGTCGAGCTCGCGAGGTACCTCGCCGTGCCCGAACACAGGCCACGCCGTACGGCGGTGTTCTTCTGGAACAACGGCGAGGAGGACGGCTTGAACGGCGCATATATGTACTGGAAACACCCGTGGTCCAACCTCACTGCGACGTTCCTCAACCTCGAGGGCGCGGCCGCTGGAGGGTGAGTGCTGATGATTCCTCGCTTGAGCAAAGTCTGATCCCCGTCTCGCACAGGCGACCCGTCCTCTTCCGCTCCACATCGCAGACCGTGACACGCGCATATGCGTCCAAGGCCATCTCGCACCTCCAGGCAGACGTCCTCACCGGCGATGCCTTCAAGCGGGGCGTCGTCCGCAGCGGTACCGACTATCAGGTCTATGCTGTAGGATTGAAAGGTGTGTCATGCCGGCCTTGGGCAGCAGCTCTCCTGCTGACGGAATAATCGCCCGCAGGCGCACGGAGCCCGATGAACGGCCTCGACGTGGCGTTCTACAAGAACCGCGCATTCTACCACACCCCGCGTGACTCGATCCCCGGCATGCGCTATGGCGAAGGGAAGAAGGCGCTCTGGGCGATGTTGGAGACCGCTCGCGGCGCGGGCCTAGCGCTCCTCAATGACGACGACACTACCGGTGACGATGGCTCACAGGGAGTGTACTTCGACTGTGAGCTGCCGCGGCGTTTGGTTGTTTGGGTGGCTTACTGATGAAGTGCGGGCAGTGTTCCGCACGACGCTGGTGCTCTTCTCCATGACTGCGCTGTTCGTGGTGAATGTCGTGCTCTTGGTCGTTGGCCCGATCGTCACCATTGTCTTGTTCGTGTTCCTGGTGGTCACGACGAAGAGGTCTGGCTGTAAGTACTGCTATACCTGTTGCCCACCCGGAGATGCTCATGATGCTGTAGCTGGACATGTCGCGGAAGACGAAGTGCCTGCCACCAAGTGGCACAAGGTCAAGAAGGCCAGCAGGGTCATCCTCGGCTGGGGTCGGTTCTGGATTGCACTCATAGTCGGGATCCTGGCCCACGTCGGTCTCGTTGCGGGCTACATCAACGTGAACCCATATGTAAGGGCCCTCCATACAGAAAAGCTATGCATTACTGACTCTCCAAACATAGGTCGTGCATGCCCACCCTTACGTCGTACTGGGGACCTTCCTCTCGCTCTCCTACGTCGCCATCGCAGGCCCCCTTCAGCTGCTGCAGCGCTTCATTCCGACGTCGCCTTCCTCTCAGAAGCTTGTCCTTCTGCTAGAGCACTACTTCCTCACCTGGGTGCTCCTCGTCGTCGCCACTGTCCAAGTCCGCGAACACGGCCTCGGCGGCGTATACTGGATTACCGCGTGGAACCTGACTGCGTGGCTCGCGGTGGGCACTGCGCTCGGCGAGGGCGCGGTGGGCGGCTGGAGGGGCAGTGAGCGGGGCCGCAAGGCGGGGCTGGACCTCTCGATCGAGAACGACCAAGACGAGACTGCTGGCTCTGAAAGACGCTTCGTCAGGGGTCTGCGGTACGACGCGCCGCCGGATCGCGAGGACGAGGAGCACGGGGAGAATGGCCGAGAGGACAGTGGGGATGAGGGCGACGTGGTGGAGACGGACCCGACGGAGATCACGCCGTTGGTGCGGCAGCAGCGGCGGTCGCTCGAGACGGGCGCGGAGGACCCCAAGTACGACGAGTATGGGTGGTGGATCTTGCAGATGGTGTTTGCGGTCCCGGTGCTGGCGACGTTGCTCTTCCAGCTGGAGTACCTGCTCCTGCAGGCGCTGATGAACACTTTGGTGGACGGGAGCAGTGCGCTGAACCGTAAGTCCTCCTAGCTTGCCTCCGCGAATGTTTCCGCGGCGTCGCTGATGTCTTATTCTTCGGGGCTTCTAGTGTATGGGTGTCTCTCGGCCTTGTCTCTGATGATATTCCTCCCCATCGCGCCCTTCGCACATCGGTTGCACCATTGGTTGACCGTGGTCGTGCTCGTCGTGTTCGCGCTGACGCTGATCACCTCGTGGACGATATTCCCGTTCTCTCAAGAGCGCCCTTTCAAGATCTTCTTCCAGCAACAGGTCGAGATCGTCACCTCTTCGGAGACACAGACTCGCAGCACCCCTCTCGCTTTCAATAGCCAGAACGCCGACACCATAGGTATGGCTGGCGTACCAGCTGCCGCGTCCAGCACGGATGTCCGCGTTTGGACCGTCTTGACAGGACTATCTGGATTTGTGGACCGTCGCATCGTTCCCGAGCTGCCTTCCTCGTGGGGAAAGGATGTGCAATGCACGCAGAACACAGTGTTGAAGCCCGGGCTGCTGGACTGCAGGTGGGAGAGCGACCTCGTCCCTTCGCCAGGCGGAGGCGATGACCGCGACGTCCGGTGGCTCGACGTCGAGACGACACGGCTCAACGGGACCAGCGGGTTGGTCTCTCTGAAGGGCACGAACACGCGCGGGTGCAGGCTGTATTTCGACAGGCCTGTCACGTACTACAAGATACACGATGTCGACGACGCGGACGAGCCTGAAACCAAGGCGACTGGCGAGTTCCTACCAGGGTACGAGATGCCCGAGGAAGGGGTCAGGGATATCAAGCTGTGGAGCCGGGAGTGGGAGAGGGAATTCCGTGTCGAGGTTGGATGGAAGGGAGACTCGGAGGATGGATTCGTTCAAGACACGATGGGCGGCCGCGCGGCTTGCGAGTGGGCGGAGTACGCGAGCGCGTCGGACGGCATGGGTCAGAATGGGCTGATCCCTGCCCTGGAGGAGGTGAAGGCGTTCCTGCCGCTGTGGGCGCAGCCGACTAAGACGACAGACGGCCTTGTGGAGGCATGGACGAGGTTCTCGATTTGAGTAGGTATGGAGCTACGGACGTGGCACGGAATAACGACGCGATGCCTTCGTGATGTACTTGTACGTATGCATTATCTTCGATCAAAAAGGCTAGTTATTGTAGGTCGTCTGATGGACTGGCTGAGCATATTGGCCCCATGTACGGATACGTGATGCATGGGTCTTGACCGGTATGGATATCAGCTGAGTCCATATGGTTAGGCCCTGCTGGGAAAGCGCGAATAGAGGCGGAGCTCACTGCAGTGTGTCGGCCATTGATATTACTAGTATATAAAGCAGATCCGGTGAATTCGTTTGCATCTATTCGGCCGGGCGCTTCCATCGATCATGTGCATGTCTTGACGGCTACCTCGAGTCGCTCAGAGTCATATCGGAAGCATGAAGCCTTGAGAATGACTGCCAGTACTTGTCCATCTACCGACTGAGCGGGCTCTCAGTACTCTGAACTTCAGCCCCGCCACGCGCGCAGCGCGTGGTCTCGTGTATAGCATACAGAGTCTACATCCAGTTGTGCCCGATGGATATGCAATGCACTTGGTTGCGATGTGTGCAGTTCGGAATTACAGTCTTTGTCGCAGCCCCGCCGCGCGCTGCGCGCGCGGTCTCATCGTGCGGTACGGCGGACAGAGTGTGATAGAATCTGCAGCTGTGTTTGATGGCTATGAAATGGACCTGATGCGTGCAACTCGCAGCTACAGTCTAAGTTCTCGCCATACATCTTCAGTATCCTGATGATGCACATCGATACACTGGAATTTGTCTCTGCATCAACCGACATTGCGACTATCTTTAGTTTCATATTGACTCGACCGCCGGAGCGCAGCGATGGCGTCCCTTGTTATGTAACTCATCCCGAGCTATGGAAACCGAAAGTGAGCAGCCTCGTTGTCTGTAACAAGCGTGACAGATCGTGATCCCGGATCTGTGATCGAAGCCTTCCATATCGGGTAACCGATTCTTCGCGTAAGAGGTGCGATGCAGGCCAGCCCTCTTTTCGTCCGTCTGCCTTGAATAACTTATGGCTGAAGCTTGTTTGTGTGTTCTGTCATACTGCACATCATTAGGAGCGTTGGCGGTTGCCAAAAATGCGATTCCGACACATTTGAGGATAGGCGCCCGTGCAGACCGCCGCGCAAGCGCCTAAATTATTGCTCTGCAACCGCCAACTTCGCAGGCGCATGTCTGCCCAAAGTCCCTGTATAGTGACTCGCAAGGCAGTACTACTCCCCGATACGCCAGGTAAGCATCACGTAATGTATTCATTGAAGGCTTCGAGTCGTCACTCACCTGCCTGTCACGCAGAACATGCAAACCGGGCCACTGGTAGTACTATCGTATCCGTGACGACTGGAGCGCCGCGGCAAGTATAAGGCTGATCGGTCATCTCAAGCAGCGTGCAGCTGCTGTCGGAGGGTATGAGCTACGATACACTCATTTTACTGCTCATTGAACTCATTATCCCTTCCAATGAAAAGTAACTGAGGATCCCAGCACGAGTACCCCATCTGGTATCGACAGCGACGATGAGTACGACTGCAGCCTGAGGCCTCCGTGTTTCCCGCAGCGCTCTCGGGCTCCGTCTCCGTCTTCCTCTAATTATACCTCCTATCACCCTTCCCCCAACCTGGCGTGCTCGCCGCTCAGCCTCCTCCTACTGGATCGGCCTGCCGCTAAAGGTCGCAGTGCTCGCGGTACTGTTCTCCGCCGCACTGACAACGTTTGCATGCTAGATCTGCTACAGGTACATCCGGTGCGTGGACTTGGAGGAGACCGTGCTGGAGGCATTTGTGCGGGACCAGAGGAAGGAGGGACAACGGTGGGCTTCGTCAAAAGAGACTCATGGCTTGGATACACCTTGGTATGGTATCCAGCGTAGAGTTTGAATTTACTCAGGATGTTCCCTTCGACGAAAGGGTGAGAAGAATCAAAATCTGTGTGCTATACCTGGCCGGCGTAATGGCCCGCAGTGACTGATCAAACTTGAACGCACAATGACCATACATTCCCTTTGCCAGTGCCGAAAAGTGAGTGCACAGTTGCACCTCAAGAAATATATTCTCACCACCGCTCGCCATGTTCTTTTAAGGGACAAGACTCGAGCACAACTCAGTATTGAACCCATTCGCCGGAGAGCTTGTCGGATGGGTGCTCCGAGTCTGCGCTCTGCAATACTATTGAAGCACGCAGGAATGCAGAGAAGTGACGTACAGGCATTTGCGGTCCCATATCACGCACACTCCAGCACTGTGCGCCTCCCTCAGCTGCACGACGTTCGATGCGAAGCAGCGAAAGCTGGCAGATCCTGGACATTCCGAGTCAACTGCCAGTGCGGATCTCTAGATTATGTGGATTATTCGCTGCTAAGTGAGTACTAAACCTGCATTCTGGCGTGATAAAGCGCATGCCGGCTGCGACACAGCGGAAATGACAGCGGAAACTTAGCAAAGATCGCATTGCGTGCGGCGACGCGCGATGCTACACGGCGAGCACCGTCCGGCCGATGATGTAAGCTACATACGGCACAAGCGACTCTGTTGCTCTAAGACGGTGGATATACAAGATACACCCAACTCTGTGTATGTCATGTGGATCAAGTAGTACATTACCACAAACTCAGGCTGTTTGTGCAGCGCGAACAGTGGACTTCAATGAGCAAGCGCTTAAGCGCACTGCACGGGCGCCTATCCTCAAATGTGTCGGAATCGCATTTTTGGCAACCGCCAACGCTCCTAATGATGTGCAGTATGACAGAACACACAAACAAGCTTCAGCCATAAGTTATTCAAGGCAGACGGACGAAAAGAGGGCTGGCCTGCATCGCACCTCTTACGCGAAGAATCGGTTACCCGATATGGAAGGCCTCGATCACAGATCCGGGATCACGATCTGTGACGCTTGTGACAGACAACGAGGCTGCTCACTTTCGGTTTCCATACGAGCTGGTCCGTATGCACGCTGATTGGGCTGCGCCACCTGTAGGCTGCTACGCTGATGTCGACGGGTCCGCCTCTCGGTGAGCGATTTGATCGCGATCTGCGCCCCGTCAAACACCGCCTGTGTGTGTTTTCAGAGGATGGGGCCTACCGATATGGACTTAGCTGTTATTCTCTTCGCGCAGATCGCTCCTGAAGGCCTGAACTTTCAGACATACGTCAAAATACTGAAGTCCATTGCATCAAGTCTGTTGTACAGGATGATGTACGTCCCCAATGTGATCGCTCATGGGGATTCCGATTCCATCGTATGGAAGTGTCCTTACTTATTGCTTGTGGATTGTAGGCCTCAGAATGCAGTGACGGAACTCGAATGTAGCAACTGAGAATCGCATTCGAGGGTGTAAGCACTCGGTATCAGCAGCCTTTGGTAGACTTCGGGGCCCCGGACTCTGTCATGCTGGACCAGAAGCACCCTGGTGTTCGGTTCGTCCACATCACCTGGAACTTAGCGTCGTGCATTAATAAATTGTCGTCGTGTCATACACGTTATGGATGCGCGCCCGAAGGGGTATTTATATGAAGGCATTGTAGACTCAGTAGAGGGACATGCAGGCCGCCTGAGTCTATGGCCCGGTCGCTCATCCCCATTACACAATCGACATCATGTTTCGTTCAAGTTCACAAGCATTCATCGCACTAGTCTTGCTTGCGTCGCGATTCTTGGCTGTTCACAATGCGCAGGCCCAGGTGGTGATCTCCAATAACGATGGTTGGGCAACTGCCCAGATCCGTGCTCAATTCGATGCACTGACTGAGAAAGGCTACGATGTGAGTCGATTCCTGTCTGAGGTTGTCAACTTATAAGCTGACCGGATCTACAGGCCTTTTTGTCTGCCCCTGCACTGAAGCAGTCGGGGAAAGGTTCATACACTACGACCCCTGAAGTGCTCACCGAGCCATGCCAGTTCGATACTTGCCCCGTCGGGTCGCCGCCCTTTGGGTACAACGCTAGCGACTGTGAGTTTCCCTTTGTGGTACTAGAGGAATCGCTTCGTCTGCTAAAATTTAGAATCAGCACGCCTGAACTATGTGAATGCATATCCGTAAGTCGCATTGTTCTGTATTCGACTCGGAGGACCTGTACTGAGAAGTGATTTGCAGAGCGAACGCGGCAAACTACGGTGTCAATGTGATATCTCCGAGATTCACTAATGGGCACCCTCCCGACCTTCTAGTGAGCGGCCCGGACATTGGACGTACGTGCGATCGCTTCACAGAAATTCACACAAGGATTGCCCATCTGACATACCGATGTACAGCTAACGTCGGATTCTTGACGCAATACTCGGGTACTGTGTAAGTACAGGATCGTCCTCTGTGTAGATGTCTTGCTGACTATCACTGCAGTGGGGCGGCTTCCGCAGCTTCCTTGCAAAACATTCCAGCGGCAGCTTTCTCCGGTGTCAGCGGAGCACAAGTCTCGTATACTACCCTTACCTCCGACCCTTACGCGAACTCGACTATCGCCGCTCGGATATACTCCGACCTGACAGTGCACTTCGTTGGTACCCTCTTCGAGGCAATCGACATCGGCTTGCCCATCATCTTGCCCCGGGCTGTGATCGTGAACGTGAACTACGGTTCGATCATAGGGTGCGGCCGTCCGGGAGACTACAAGTGGGTGTTCGCAAGGAACAGGAAGGACGACAGTGCGGTCGACGCATTGATGTGTGATGACTACTTGCCAACTGAGTTGGAGGTATTGCGGAGCCAGGGGTGCTATGTGAGCGTGTCAGCTCTTGACGCGGAGACGAAGACGGACGTCGACGCAGGGACGCAGGCGTTGGTGATGATGAAGCTACATTTCCTACCATGGAGCTGTCTAGAGTGACATCGGGCATATAAACTACATATTTCTTGAGTTTGTAGCGTTGCACTCCTGCTTCTGTGCGTATGTGAATGTCATCCGCCTCTTCTTGTGATATGCGGCGTGCTTTTGAAGTTCAGCATCAAACCTTGAACGCGCCACGGGTATGATAAAAGGGGAGGAAGCTCACGTTGTGGAAGCACAACAGCGTTGTTGAAAGGGGGCGGCGGTTAGTTGGAAAGTTTGGAAGCGCTAATAAGGCGTTCAATATGATATTTTAAAAAGGCAATCGCTGCCAGCCGCCGCTCTCGGTGGCTGTTGCCGTTTATTGGCCAATCACGGAGCGGGACTTCAACAAGTCACCCTCAATCGAAATCCGGCCATACGACCAACGTCGCATTTTCCGTAAGCCTGTGTGTACAGGCTCGATGTATCATCTGCTGAAGTTTTCGAATGCTCTGTCGAGGAATCACGCGTAGTACGGCGCACAGAAGGCTGGCAGCCTTCGCCCAACTCGCATCCGCTACCGTCGTGCTTTACGGTAGTTCTGATGTTGCGTTCAAGCCTGCGCTGGACAGTGTACTGGTGCACGTACGTACGAGTGCTCCTTGCCCCTTGGGCTGCTCGTGGTATCCTCGATCCCTTCGGCACAGTGGGCTCCGCTCCATACGCGGAGTATGTCTGCGAGAATGATTTGACAAATGGGATACGCTGCACTGCTGCCATGGCTACGGATATGCAACATGCCGACTGGGAGGTCAGTTGGAACTTATTCATATGGCGCGCCTTCTGAGACTCTTCTTCGTAGATCGTTCCAATGAAACCTCAGGCTGTCGCAATAGGCGCTGTTTTACTACTGAGGCTCCAGAACTAGTGTACATGAAAGACCCGAACCCGCTGCAAGGCTGATAAGTATCCATTCGAGCTTCCTCCTCCTGATTCCCTACTGCGCGCAGGTGACGCGACTGTTGTTACATTTTCATGCTCCAGCTTTCGCTCCCCAGGATATTCGCGGCATTCCAGACGGTTCTTCTAGCGCTACGGACTTCGGTGGGTCCGTCGCTCTGTTCAACGGAATCATGAACTCATTGCTAGCCGAAGCCGATGGTGGTAGATTCCGGCAAGACAGTTTGTCAGTACAGTAGATGCGCATTGCGTTTGCACCGAGATCGAACGCGGTCACGGGACCGGGTTCCATGTGGGCGCTTGAACGCGCCCTTCATCCGTATGCGGCGGCCCTTGTCCTGCGACGCGAGTAAGTTCCAGAACCCTTGTTGTACTTGGTCTCAAACAAACATGTCTCTTATTTGAGCAGGATCCGTGGTAACCATCCGCCCTTGTATCGTACAGGCGACTGGCGCAACGCGACAACGGGTTGAACGGACGCGTTGTGCGCCACTGTGGCCTCTACTCTTGGCGTTGATACATAAGGCCAGTCTTGTTGGATTCGTGGCTTCTTCAAAACTGCTATCTCCGGTGCCCCACCACTTTGAAAACCTCGCATCCCCTCCAAGTCTGCTCAAGTCTCGCACCTCACTACAAGCCATCCAGCTTCCAATCCTCACTACAGAAGGCACAATGCCATCCGTCTCATCCCGCTCGTCTTCAACGTCGAGCACCGACTACCCCGTCCCCGCCAAGCCGACCTGGCTCCCGGAGATCACGAGCGCGGCGGAGCTCGTCCACCTCGGCACGCTCTACCTCTCCTTCTTCCTGTACACGCACTGCCCGGCACGCTGGCTCCCCGAGAAGGTGCTCTCCGAAACGCTCACGATCCCGCGGCACCTGCACCCGCAGGACACCGCGATCCGCGCGTGGCTCTACGGGTGGGCGTGCTACGTCGAGCAGCACAGGCGCGCGCCGGAGGAGGTCGCGGCGGACAGCTGGCACTGGGCGATGGAGCTGATGTTCTGGCCGGGCAGGCCGCTGACGGGGAAGAACGCGGTGGAGTTTGCGTGGAACAGGAGGGTCATCCCGCAGCAGCCCGGGTGAGTGTTCGGTGTCCCGAGTCTCTGGCGCGATGCGAGGATTCAGATGGGGTGCTGATGCTGTGGCGGCAGGTGGGTGCGCGTGTCGTGGTACCACTCGGTCAAGGAGATGTTGCCCGACGCGCGGGCGCACCCCGAGATGTACGCGCACCTCCAGCTGGAGCCCGACGGGAGCCTGAAGATCGGGGACGTCCGCCGCAAGTGGGGCATGGAGACCATGGTCGTACGTCGCGTCCCCGCATATCCCCTCACCGACGCGCGCGCTGATGCGCCACACTGTACGTGCAGTTCGTCGAGTGGAACCCGCACAGGTACTGCCTATGGCCCTCCGTAGACGGCGAGACGATCAGTCCCATCGCGGTCCGGCATCTCCTCAGCACGCGCGAGGAATGGCCGTACTTTCGCGTCATCGGTACGTCCCTCCCATCCCATCCCATCCCATCCCCTCCTCACACCTCCACACAGAACGCATCTCCGACGAGCGCCGCGCCATCCGCACACACCGCGCCGCGCTCCTCGCACCGGCCACCGCGCCCTTGCACATGCGCCTGCACCTCCGGGCGCAGCACGCGCACCTCCGCAGCGCACAAGCGTGGTTCGCGTTCCGGCGGCGGATCGCGCGGCCGCGGCTGCCGTGGCCGGTGCTGGGCGACATGACGCGCGAGGCGCGCGAGCGCGTCGCGCTCGTGCTCGCGCTCGCCGCGTGCGCGGCCGCGGTGTGGGTCGCGGGGGCGGTCGTGTGGCCGCGGATGGTGCGGTGGATGGGGTGGCTCGTGGCGTTCCTGGGCGTCGGGCGCGCGGTGGAGGGGGCGTGGACCGCGGTGTGCGCGCTGCCGGTGTTGCTGTTCTGGGTGCTCACTCTGCCGGTGTGGGGCCCGTTCTGGTGCGCGAAGGTCGTGGGGGCGTGGGTGTGGTCGGCGTCGGGCGCGCTGGTCTGGACGGCGGTTGCTGGGTTGCGGAGGGGCGCGCTGGGCGTGAACTTGGCGGAGACTCGGATGTGGTGAGCCCGTGCGTGTTTCGTGCTCGTGTATGTATGATAGGCGTGGTTGCGTCCGTGCTCTCTCGCTTTCAGGTTGCTGTTGTTGTCTGAGCCATGGATTAGAAGTATGCTGCTGCCCTTGGGCATGGACCTCGTTGTATGCGTTCTCGCTGCTAGTACTCACTGTATGCTTTCCTGCGCTTGTTATGCCTTCCCCTCACGTCTATGTAGTGTCCAGTTTTTTGATCTTGAGACATTGGGGCGACGCAGCAAAAATTCGAGATAACATATCTTCAAAGGACGGTGATGCGGCCGTACACTGGCAAGTGGCACGTTCTGCTGCAACTGGCAAATCCACACATCAAGAGACGGCT